GAGGAATGTGTGGGCTGACGCACTGGAACGTCGAGCGCACTCATTCCCGTCTGTGGGCTCAGTGATGATGTCAAGTCTTTCTTAACCAACTCAGGGCGCTGCCCACCCGTGGGCGAGCAGCGGGAGCTGAAAACGAAAGATTTTCCCCCCGGCCCTCCACCGGGGGCAGGAGGGGGCCTGCTCCCGCCTCCTGGGGAAAAACTCAACTCCATCACTGAGCAGCCCGTATCAGGATCATCGCTTGCCTGGCGTTTAGCGGGGTGCGCGGCCTGAGGGGGCTGTGACGCCTGCCGGCGGCCTCCTCCACGCCATGGCCCGGATGAAGGCTGCTGCTGGGGCTGGGCAGGAGGGAGGGGAGCCGCGGGGGGGCGTCCTCGGCGGCGAGCAGCGGGAGGCATCTGTGCCGACGACTGGGTGGAGGCAGCAGCTGGTCGTCGGGGCAGAACATGTTTGATTGCCTCCGTCTGCTCCTGGGCAGTGGAGACTGCTGGGCAAGAGTTCTCGACTGCACCGCCAACAAAGGCCAACCTGGGAGAGAAGGGCGTCGAGCAGACGAATCCGTTTAGCGCTCCGAGAGTCTGCCAAGTTGACGCTCCTGGACCACACTAGTGGCCATCACCTGACCAACGGCGCGAGCGGCCACTTCCGTTGCCCTTTTGAAGAGCAAGGTCAGTGGCGGACAGCAAATCTTCGAATGCCGTTGGATCAGTCCCGCCCTCGAGCATATCTCTGAACATCTGCGCTTGCACAGTGCTCATCGCATGCAAAGCGGAGGCCGCCCGTCCCGCCACTCTATAGGAACGCGCCGCCATGGCAGACGAGAACCTACAGGCTTTGGATGGGTGCTTAGGAGGACCACGGGAGGAGGCGCTCTGTGGACACAGCTGTATCGCAACAGAGCGCTCCAGCGGGGGCATCCCAGTGCACCCACGGGCGGCCCCCCCATCGAGGGGGGAAAGGCGGGGGAGAGATCGCGCTCTCGAGTGGACAGAGGAGTCCCCCAAAAGCGCGATAACTCTGCATGCAGCTCGGGGAAAAAAGGCAATGGAGTTGGCCGTGGCCTCGCGGCGGCAGCTTTGTCCAAAAACCAATTATCCCTCCGTGAGAGATCGGGGGAGAATGGAGGATGCCACTCTAACCCAATACTCCCAGCGGCTCGAGACAGCATGCCGTCAGCTCGGGATCCGACACGGGCAGCGCTGGCTCTCCCGAAGGGGGCAGTGCAGCCGCATCCTCATCTCCCGAGGACTGTAGCCCGCCTAGTGATGCTGCGATCGACATCACATCATCATCTGGAGCGCTGCTCGAAGCAGCCGGTACCTCTGAAGAGGCAGCCGACTGAATCGAACTAACGCTCGCTGGCTCACGCACTGAGGCGGGAGGTGTGGCCGAGAAATCGTCGGGCTTTATGCCACACCGTCACCGTTAATTCGCGCGGTCCCGCGTCGACGGGCCCCCTTTCGTGAAGGAAGCCGATCGAGTAAGGGGGACCGAGGCTCTCACTCTAGTGAGATTTTTTTTTATTTTTTATATATATATATTTTTAACCTCAGTGTGGAGATGGTCATGTCCCATAGCAGGAACATGAGTCATCCACGAACGCTGCTGCTGCATGCTGAATGCCCAGGCATACAGAGCAGCGATCGCGACCATCAGATGACGACAGAAATCGACCGCATCCAGAAGAACACGGGCGAACCGTCTTTAAAAAGACGTGCCGCGTGTAGCTCTTTTACAGAGAGGAGGAAATTCACTCTTTCAGCGCTGAGGCGACCAGGGAGAAGCGCAAAGTCTGGCAGACCACTGCACAGATCGCAGGCGATGCAGAAACTCGCTGGGTACCGCCGTCACACCAACACTGAAGAGGACGCTCGTCTCGAAGAGTCTTGTAATAGCTTCCAGGAGTGAAGAGGTTCTCTTGGCTCCGAAGCGAAAACATACTGCGGTTGCGTTCACTTCCTCCTTTTATACTCACGGAGTAGGGCGGAGTACGCTATGCAATACTCGAAGAGGATTGGCTTTCTATGCGAAACCCCCAATCTCCGTCACTTCTGACGTAACTCGAAGTGACTACGAAAGGGAACAATTGTGCCACTGACCAGAAAAAACCTGGTCTAAAGTCAGTCACGCGTTGCACGTACATTCAGATGCTATTTTAAGCGCGCTTGCTTATAATACAGAGTGTGAACAACGCGCATACACTGTAGATGATTCTCTCAGCTACACAGATGCATTTTACTTTTTGCAAATGATACATTATTATAAGGAAAAATATATAAACATGAGGGAAATCATCGTTGTGTCCATGATGATGGGAAAAATAGGCATAAAGCTTACACATTTACCCAAATTAGCATGTTTAACTGAAGCTAATTTGGGTGGGTTTGTCTCATCCCCAATGTCACTTCTCTTTCTTTTACGGCTCTGACGAGAACATCGATCTCCTCGGCTGTGAACCGATTGAAGCGCGCCGGTAAATGCACCGTAATAGTATTGCGCCACGGAACAAGCACACCTCGTTCATCACGCTCTTAAAGGGAATGTGATATGACGCTCTTATTGGTTTGTTTCCCGTTACTCCCAAACCACACCTATGAATAATGAAGCTACTCCAGACCAACCCCTTTTAGATTTGTGCCAGGGGCAAGAGGCATTTATCCCGACGGTTAAATAGCAACAGCGCCGGGATCCACCCACAAAGTTACTTGCGCTTTGACACTTGCGTTTCAGATCGTTAAAATAGGGCCCAGTGTCTCATTACCCTTCTCTGGTAACCATGATTACATTCGTAACCTGAGACATTTTTTTAGAATTATCCTTCAAACTGATAGTTTACTTTGCTGGATGTAGCAACTGATGACAAAAAAAAATGTGAAAAGGTGAGAAAAAACATTGATTTCCCATGCAGTGATCAGTTGAGATTTTGGGCTAGTTTACTCCAATATTCAAGAAATTCTTTCAAGCTGCTATAAATAAAATGTTGAAATGTTTATTTTATTACATTTTGTTTACTTGCGGCATTAAGTTTCTCCCGAATTTACCAAGAAGTTAGCATTCCAACGCGTCATGCCGCGTTCCGTCTGTTTACTGTAGTCTGTCATGACCGGTATCTTTGTAAAGCTCAGAGTCTACTGCACAACGCTATGTAACCTAAATATGGGTTTTAATAACCTAAATAATCAGTTTTAATGAGCTTGAAATATTATATATTATTATTACTTAGGGCTTGAGCATTTATTCTGTTTTTGAGCAATGTTTTCCATTAGAAATGTATTAAATTCCCTACTTAAATCTTTAAATGCCTTTCTCTCAAAATGAGTTCTTTTGTCATCCTCCAGTTCAAACATCTCAGCCTATGTACACAGCAAAATCACCAGTGTTAAATTAACACTGAGAGTGTTAAATTAACACCGAGAAGTGAGAATTATATAAACTCTGAGCAGAGTGTTAAATGAACACTGAAGCAGTGTTAAAGTTAAGGAGATAATTAAGTGAATAATTGAGTGATGGTTAAGCATCATTAAGCTTCACACCTGATGTTAACAAGCAGAATCTCTAAAAACAGAAATTTTAAGTCACCATTATGGAGATCAGTGTTTGGTTTAGCTGGTCTCCTGACCCTTAAATCATTAACTTTAGATTTTCTTTGGCTGCTGTATGTGGCTTATAACAGCCAGATGAAAAAAGGCGATCTGATGGTGTTGGTTGTGTTTCAACACAATCATTAATTGACCTAAATCGTTGAACTCATCAAGAGCATAAAGTTAAATGCTGAGTTAAATTTACCTTAAGGATTTTAGCAGCATGGTCATTTTAGGACATAACATTTTTAGCCTTTTCAATGAAAAACGATGAATTTTGTTTTAAAAATATCCCAAAAATATTTTATATAGGCACACACAGACATCAATAATTAACAAACTAATCTCAGCAATGGTGACAAACAGATCACCTCTGAACATAAGTTCATTATTTATTCATGCAGCAATGCATGATGGGAGCCATGAATGAGTTTTGATTGGTGGCACCAAGAATGCAATGCAACATGCTTTATAACTGTTACCATTGTTGAGATTCACAGGCTAATTATTGATGTCTGTGTGCCTTAACATTGTAGAGAAGTAAGAAATTGTATAAGAAAAGCTTTTAAGAAATTATTTTGAATATTCTGTAGACGTTGAGAGTATTATGCTGCACAAGGTCACTGCTGCTATAATTAATAAAGTAAACCTTACTCAGAAATTATAAGTTATATGAATTCAGTGATTCAGGTCAAATGATTGTAAATTAATGATTATGTTAAAACACAACCATCAGCATCAGATCACCTTTTCTATTAGTTCATCTGGCTGTTATAACTCATGTACAGCAACCAAACAAAATGTAAAGTTAATGATTCAAGGGTCAAGAGACCAGCTAAACCAAACACTAATCTCCATAATGGTGACTTAAAATTCCGTTTTTCTCCTTCAGTGATTCTGCTTGTTAACATCAGGTGTCTTCAATAATGCTCAATCATCACTCAATTATTCACTTAATTATCTCATTAACTTTAACACTGCTTCAGTGTTAATTTAACACTGGGGATTTTGCTGTGTGTGCGATTAATCGCACAAAACGATCTGATTAATCACGATTAAAAAAAAAAAAATCTATTGACAACCCTAAATATATTGTAATTTAAAATAGCCATGTCTTTGTCATTCTTAATTAAAAATAAAAAAGTAAATGTATAAATCTTAGTTTATGATCATCCCTCTTATGGGTATAACTTCCATGAACTAATCAGAGTAGTACAGTAAATAGTATTGTTCTGGCTATATCTGAACTACCATTGTTAAATTTTATGAGTAGATGTATTACCTTTGAGCGCAATACTATTCATTCTGTACAATACTACATACTCTGGTAGCAACACTCAATAAATTGAATTCACTCTAAACATGAAAAACAACAACAACATAAAACTAAGCTTTAAGAAACAACAAAATACCACAAAGTCTTTTCTTCATTGCTAAGCAGGTTTATTCAAGGATAGTCTGGTCTATTTCCAAAATTACTCCTTGAACAAAGAGAAAGACAGAAAGCCTTTAATTAATTCCATTAATTAAACTAACAGTAAATGGTACATTTTAGTCATACCCATCCACTAATCTAGAAGAATTTAGTTATGTATTTGAATAACACTTCCTCTTTAACCATAAAACAATACATGAATAGAGTGGTTATTACAGAGATTTTGTTTTTTCTGCGCATCAATGTTTGAGTTAAAAGTCCCTTTTCACCTAGCAGTTGGTGTTCATTGGTGATGTGTTTATTTAAAATATCTCTGATTGGATGTTTAAAGACAAGGAAGTGCTTTCAAATTCATATTTAGAAATCTTAGATTTAGATCATTCACACAAAGTATTTTGATATAAATGAAGGATCTTTCATTCATCATGGTTATTCAGCTTTGTTAAAGACCCATGGTGATCGCAGACGAGTGATGGAAATCCAAAGATCTGCGCTTTCTGCGTCTATATCCAGGATCGCAGGACTGAAAATGACAGACAAGAATATACATTTATCATTGACTTCTACAATGCAAAGGCTGTTGAATGTGTTTTCTTTTAGACAGATCTTTTATAAAAGGTTCATAATTTACTTGAAGGCTCCTGTAAAAAATAATGCAGTGGATGGACCATTGAAAAATTCTGTCCAAACATACCAGTGCACATCTGCCATTCTGTACAAGGCAGAGATGAACCTGACAGTGCAGGAAGATGCGGTCAGAGATTCCTGAGAAGGTGAACATCCTGAAGGAGAAATGGCTTGTTGTATCATTACCATTCTGAAGAACCTCCACTGTGCCATCTTCAGGGTTGGGGCATCTAGGAAGGTAGTAAAGAAGACAATAAATAAAAGAAAAAAGTATACCATGGCAAGATTTGAATGTAGGCTCCAAGTATTTGGTCAAAACCAAACATTATGGAACAAACATTTTGGGTAACATTTTATTATAATGGTCCACTTTCGACATTCTACAATTAAGAAACTTTGCGATTGCATGTTAATTAACTCTCATTAGAGTATTAGTAGATTGTCTCCTAATATCTGCAAACCCTTTTTTTAATGGTCCCCCAACAGTCATTCTATTGACTGTAAGTAACTTTGAAAATGCATGTCAACTTCTTCTCCTAACCTAACAGTCTACTGCAGTTTACCAATACTCAAATGAAAATTAGTTGACATGTAGTTGCACAGTTACTTCATAATTAGTAGAATGTTTAAGTGTACCATTGAAATTGTTACCCAATTTGGTAGAAATAACTTTCTGAGATACAACAAATTTAGTAATCAAGTCACTCACTCTCTAGTAATTAGACTCCAGCGAATATGATAGTCAATATCATTAACAGGTGTGGCCCAGCAGTTGTCTAGAACCGTAGCGATTTGATTTCTATCCACTCCATTCACCTCAACAGCCACATACATCTGCTGGTTCACCTGTATTTCCACCTCCCCATCAAATGGGATAGTAAACTGTGCATCATGGTAGGGAATCATGCGGACTTGGTATGTGCCCTGGCCAGCAGGAAGCTCCAGACTCATCTCACTGTGGGCAAATTTTTTTTTAAATATTAGCAACCATGACTTAAGTAAATGGTAATGGTGATAGCTCATGGCTCATATTTATAGCTGATGAGTCTGACTAGACTCAAACCACCAACCGTTCACTTACCAGCCCTGAGCCTTAAGCACTGACACAACATAAGACAAGGATAACTACAGACTTACTAAGGCTGCAACCTGTTTGACAACCACTGTAACACTGATCAAAATTCTTAACCCATGTTGAATAAGGTAGAAATTATCTGGAAAGACCTAAATGAGGTCATTGATTTTATTGATTTGAGTAGGTAAAAAAGTCTCCTTCATTTTCTAGACAGACAAGTTAAATATTGGAAATTAAATGAAGTCAATCCAAACCGTTAAAAACATGAAGATTTCCTAAAGTACAATAGTGACTTGCCTCATTAAATGTAATAATATAAAAACCTATTCATTTTCATAAAACTGCACGCTTATACACAGAAGGTATCGAGTACCCTTACCCGCCTTCAGCTTGGATACCCATGGGCATAGATAGGGTCTGGATCAGAGGATATGCACAAGAAAAAGTAATGTTCAGCCATCTCTCTCTTGAAATGAGGCTCTGGCCAGTGCTTCTTAAGTTAGACTGAATGGAGTTTTGGTAAATGAAGTGAGTCCTGTTGCTCTGTTAGGACATGGACAAATGTCAATCTCAAGCTCAAGGACAATCTACTAGTCATTTACACATCTCACAGCTCTAGTGATGAAACAGAAATCGAAAGATCATTACCATCAGAATGGTACCACATACGTGGCCCTCATTGTCAAATTGAAATACAAGCCTGCCATGCTCAAGGGTTCCTTGGCAGTTTGGATCATTTAAATGCAGGTTCTCAGGAGTAAAACCAGATTCAAAGAGCTGGCAGCGGGACAGAGACATGGACCCAGTGCTGCTGGCACAAGACTCCACAGCATCTGAGCAGATAAAGCATTCAACATAGATATTTAGATTTATTTTGTTGGCGTTTTTTTGGAACATACCAGTTTATTCATAACCTCAAGGCTAACATATTCATACTAAAAGCTAAAAAACTTTTTCAGGGGGACTTTAAGAACGAATGGCTTCATTCAAGCCATCTAACTACTCTCGTCTCATTTCTCCTCCTTTAAATCCTCTCAAAAAGTACTCTCAAAAAGTTTAAGAGTAAAAGCCACAAATCAGCCAGGATGCCGTAGTAAAAAAAATAAAAATAAAAAAAATAACACAGAGGAAATGAGGTTAAACTCTAAAATATAAAGAGTGTAAAATAGACACACTCCAATAAACTGGTGTGGCTGTAACAATAAGAAAAATAAGCTCTGATAAAGCATTTTTATTTAATTTCAATTGAATTCTAATGTTATGAATAAAATGCTTGCTCTGTGTTCAGGTTTGACTATAATAATAATGCAAAAAGGATTTTAGTTAAATGCATGAATGCACAACAACTGTGAGAGAACTCACCAAAGATTTCATGATTTTGTCCATCCAAGCAAGCACAGCCATTGACACCACCTCTCTCCTGACAAACCTCATTTTCAGTGCAAGTATCACAAACTAAAAAAGAAAATAAGAACATTGCACAAAACAACATGAAAGCTATCATTCACTTGGATCTTGACCTATCCAAATGTGTTAAATTATATCAGTATTATATATATATATATATATATATATATAGAGAGAGAGAGAGAGAGAGAGAGAGAGAGAGAGAGAATATTTCAAGACTATAACCATTATTTACACATTGAAACAATGAGTTGAAACAAAGAAAAAATAACAGCCATTACCATCGTGACTACCATCAACAAAGAAAACCCAACGACCATTATCATTGACATTGCTGTTGGATGACAGTTCAGCAGCACTCAATGATGAAATGACAAACGAGTGTGAAGAGTCCACTGTGTCAAAGCCAGCCTGAATGAAATATGATATGTTAACTGGAAAAATTTGGAGACAAAAATCATTTTTAATAATAACATAATTTACAACTTACTAGCCAAACTTGTCCTGTTTCTGCAATATCCCCATAGTTGATCAGGATGAAAGAGCGATCACCATTGGAGACTAAAACAACTTGGAAAGTTGCCGACTTAAAAAATCAAACAAAAAACAAACGATGAACAATTGAGAACATTCATAACCAAAAACACACAAAGAACCTTCATCAAAAATCAGAGATTAGGTCTTACCCCTTCACCCGTGAAGTACGGCACACGGTCCCATGTAGCCACAAAGGCTGATGAAGCAGCAAAAGGCACGTTAGGGAAATATTGGTGAACAGCTTCAGTGACTTGTGCCAGTACAGCACTGCTTGTATCCTCTCTATAGGAGATCGTTCCACCATCTACATTGAAAAGGTCAGTCCATAGAGGAGCAATGATGTCTATTCCAGCATTCAGGTAAGGGACGTAGGCAGATAGTGGTTGAGTAAACGTCAAGTGACCATTGTTGTTCACCTAAAATTCAGATCAAATTGCTGTAGAATTATCTGCCAGTAGTCAAAAGTATAATCAATTTAACAAAGTACACTTAAACAGGGAACACTCTTGACAAAAGAGAGTTTGACAAAAAATATTGATGCATAATTAACCGAGGATGTAATAAAAGGAAAAACATCTTAAACCAAGAAGAAAAAGTCCAATCCTTACATAGATCTGATTGTATACGCGACCAAAGTATTTGAAAGGCTGCTGCAAGTAAATGGCTTCAGAGCTTCCATCATCTGAAATGGGGTTTACTACATCACCATCCCCAAACGGCAGGAAATTAGCTGGCAATAGAAAAAGTACAAGAACCAGTCAATTGTTTAGTACTTACAAAAGGAATTTAAGCTCAAAAATGCTACTAAATTTTTTGAGGATCATGTTGCAGAAAAACAGTCAACTCTTTGGCTTACAGTTTGGTGATCCATCAACACGGAAAGACCAGCGACCATCCACATTGATATTACTGCTGGATGAGAGTTCTGGGGCACTGGCTGCTGGAATTGTGAAAGAATTGACAGAGTCCACTGTGTCATACCCAGCCTGTAAAAGTAAAAAAGAGTATTTAAAACTGCAACCAAATCCTATTCCAAATAAACCATCTCTTGCTTATCATTAAGGTATGAATTTGACCATGAGCAATTTCTAGTCAGGCATTTCTACTATTTGTAAAAAGTGCTAGGATCTTCACTCCACTTACCAGCCAAATTTGTCCTGTTTCTGCAATATCACCATAGTTGATCAGGATAAAAGAGCGTTCCCCATTGGAGGCCAAAACCACTTGGAAAGTGACCGACTTCAAAGACCAAACAAAAAACAAACATTGAACAATTGAGAACATTCATAACTAAAGACACACATAGAGCATTCATCAAAAATCAGAGATTAGGTCTTACCCCTCCACCAGTGATGTACGGGACACTGTCCCATGTAGCCACAAAGGCTGATGAAGCAGTAAAAGGCACGTTAGGGAAATATTGGTGAACAGCTTCAGTGACTTGTGCCAGTACAGCACTGCTTGTATCCTCTCTATAGGAGATCGTTCCACCATCTACATTGAAAAGGTCAGTCCATAGAGGAGCAATGATGTCTATTCCAGCATTCAGGTAAGGGACGTAGGCAGATAGTGGTTGAGTAAACGTCAAGTGACCATTGTTGTTCACCTAAAATTCAGATTAAATTGCTGTAGAATTATCTGCTACCAGTCAAAAGTATAATTTGGTTTACATTTAAGAATATTCAGTTGTACACTCTCTTGACTAAAGAGACTTTTATAAAAAAAGATATTAATGCATAAATAATTGATGATGTAATAAATGGAAAACATCTTTAACCAAGAAGAAAAAGTCTAATCCTTACATAGATCTGATTGTATACGCGTCCAAAGTATTTGAAAGGCTGCTGCAAGTAAATGGCTTCAGAGCTTCCATCATCTGAAATGGGGTTTACTATGTCTCCATCCCCAAACGGCAGGAAATTAGCTGGGAAAAGGAAAAGCATAAGCTCCAGTGAATTGTTTAGTACTTCCACGGAAATGTATAACCTCAAAAATGGAAATGATTAAAAGTTTGAGGATCATGTTGCAGAAAAACAGGCAACTCTTTGACTTACTGTATGCCGATCCATCCACGCGGAAAGACCAGCGACCATCCACATTGATATTACTGCTGGATGAGAGTTCTGGGGCACTGGCCGCTGGAATTGTGAAAGAATTGACAGAGTCCACTGTGTCATAACCAGCCTGTAAAAGTAAAAAAAGAGTATTTAAAACTGCAACCAAATCCTATTCCAAATAAACCATCTCTTGCTTATCAGTAGGTATAAATTTGACCATAAGGGACTGTTGGTTATTTATTTAAGAGGCCACCATAGAAAATTTGAGATCTGTAGTCGAAAAAGACTTGACCCTCCCCTCGCCAGCAATATTTTTTTCTATGACCCTCCAAAATGGTTGTGAAAAAAGGCATGACCCTCCCCGATAATTTATTGATTACTTCTGTACTGGTTTGCGCTTGGCAAAGATGTTCAGATAGCCATAAACGACTAAACTCCTGCTTTCTCATCTTACTAGGGCTGTAACGATAGACCAAACCTACAATTCGGTTCGTATCACGAGTTTTGATTTGAATTTTTTTTTTTTTAAATCACGGTTTCGGTGCTGATGCAGTGCTGTAGCATGCAATTTTGCGCTCAAGTTGAAAGGCATTTTGTGCATAGTAAAACATATCTGCAACATTTATCAAGTTCACTGATAATTGTGCATGCATTTATTTATCATTATGATACTAAAATCATAATAAAGTAGTATGCTTCCCTTTCAATAGTCCAAATTCACAGCCATTTTCGTCTTTCTTCTGTGGATTTCATCAGCTCCTGATAGATCAAGTTTTCAGATACTGTAGATTGACAAACCAGCTCATTCAACCGCACAGCGCACACACCTCACGAATTCAAGCCTACAGCTCAGATTTACTCACTAACACTGTTCTGGAAACGCAATAAGAATGGAAACTAAAATATGGTCGCATCGTGCTACAGCGCACATTATATCAGCTGCAGTTCGGGCGCCTCAGTCCCAATACACTTGACGTACGTACATTCACATCACATGTTAATGGAGCGGTAGAGTTAGACACACAGGACAATGCATTTATTCACAATAACAAAAGTTCATTATTTGCTCGTGCTTTAAAGCTTTGCCGGGTAAACATTTCTTTGCCGTTCTGTTCTAATACACTTTTTCTGAGCGCTTACTGAAGCGCACGCGGACTGTCAAACAGTGACACGGATTTTTGTTGGGTCAGACCCATCCGACAGCGATGGCCCGGGGGCGATATTTTTTTCCCCAGGATGGTTGGGGAAGGTCCCGCGTTTTTCGCCTCTGATAGAAGGGCTCTCCTCCGATTGGTTATTTGATTTGTGTGTGTTGGGTAGGTTTAGGTGTGTGTGTGTGTCTGTTGGGTAGGTTTAGGAGTAGTGTGTGTGCGTTGGGTAGGTTTAGGTGTGTGAGTGTGTGTGTGTGTGTCTGTTGGGTAGGTTTAGCAGTATTGTGTGTGTTGGGTAGGTTTAGACGTGTGTGTGTGTTGGGTAGGTTTAGGAGTAGGGTCAAAACAGACTAGACGGGCTCTGCTAGCAGACAGCCTGCCATGAGCACGAGATGACGTTTCACGTCCAAATCAAATAACCAATCGGAGGAGAGCACTTCTAGCCAATCAGAGGCGAAAAAGGCAGGACCCAGACAGCAAACTGACATTGAATCAACGTGGAAACGACGTCTCTCATGACATTGAAACAACGTTGATTTTGCTCATCGAATTAACGTTGAACCAACGTCAGACGCGGCATTCTTCAAAGCTAAATGAAAATCGAAAATTGGTTTGCTTTCATAACGTTGAAACAACGCGTTGATTTCAAGTTGATTTTCCGTTAGTTTTGAAAGAATGACGCGTCTGACGTTGGTTCAACGTTAATTCGATGAGCAAAACAATGTCAGATCAACGTTGTTTCGATGTCATATTTCCACGTTGATTCAATGTCAGTTTGCTATCTGGGGACCTTCCCCTACCTTCCTGGAAAAAAAAATATTGCGGCCCGGTGGCCGAGACCGAGAGAGCTACATGGACCTACATGGAAAAAATATGCACCAAACAAGCCACTTTGAAATTTACCTGTTTTGATGAATACAAAATTTGGGTGACCCTCCCCTATAGACTAAAAAAAGTTGGATGACCCTCCCCTCATCAAAGAATAAAAAGACATGACCCTCCCCTATTTTCCTCCGGTGGACCTTTCCATAAATACCGAACGGTCCCTAAGTAATTTCTAGTCAGTAATTTCTACTATCTGTAAAAAGTGCTAGGATCTTCACTCCACTTACCAGCCAAATTTGTCCTGTTTCTGCAATATCACCATAGTTGATCAGGATGAAAGAACGTTCCCCATTGGAGGCTAAAACCACTTGGAAAGTGACCGACTTAAAAAATCAAACAAAAACCAACATTAAACAATTGAGAACATTCATAACTAAAGACACACATAGAGCATTCCTCAAAAATCAGAGATTAGGTCTTACCCCTCCACCAGTGATGTACGGGACACTGTCCCATGTAGCCACAAAGGCTGATGAAGCAGTAAAAGGCACGTTAGGGAAATATTGGTGAACAGCTTCAGTGACTTGTTCCAGTACAGCACTGCTTGTATCCTCTCTATAGGAGATCGTTCCACCATTTACATTGTAAAGGTCAGTCCATAGAGGAGCAATGATGTCTATTCCAGCGTTCATATAAGGGACGAAGGCAGATAGTGGTTGAGTAAACGTCAAGTGACCATTGTTGTTCACCTAAAATTCAGATCAAATTGCTGTAGAATTATCTGCTACCAGTCAAAAGTATAATTCGGTTTACGCTTAAGAATATCCAGTTGTACACTTAGGCCCTGTTTACACGAGAACGCTCGCGGGTGAAAATGTAAAAATATTTTATCGGATGTGCCTTTCGTTTACTCAGAGATGGCGTTTTGGGGGCTTAAAGACGCAAAAAAAGTGAAACCACCCTCCAGAGTGGAAATCTTAAAAACGCTCCACCGCCGCGTTCCCGTGTAAAGGGTAAAAACGAAAAGGTCTGCTTGACAGTGAAGGTTGTACGCAGGCGCGCGGTCTTGGTGTTGTTGTAGTATGCACTCTTAGCTGCCTGGAGTGTATACTACATTGAATTTCACAGAGTGTTGCGTTACCATCTGCACGTGGATTTCACACCCAAAACGCTCATCTAAACGCAGAATAAAAAGTGATAACGCAACGCCACTTTTGCGTTTTCTCTTCAGAATCGTTTCCGTGTAAACATAGCCTTAAACAAGAGAAAACTCTCTTGACTAAAGAGAATTTCATAAAAAAAATATTGATGCATAATTAATTGATGATGTAATAAATGGAAAACATCTTTAACCAAGAAGAAAAAGTCCAATCCTTACATAGATCTGATTGTATACGCGTCCAAAGTATTTGAAAGGCTGCTGCAAGTAAATGGCTTCAGAGCTTCCATCATCTGAAATGGGGTTTACTACATCACCATCCCCAAACGGCAGGAAATTAGCTGGGAAAAGGAAAAGCATAATTGCCAGTGAATTGTTTAGTACTTCCACAAAAATGTATAACCTCAAAAATGCAACTGATTAAAAGTTTGAAGATCATGTTGCAGAAAAACAGGCAACTCTTTGGCTTACTGTATGCCGATCTATCAACGCGGAAAGACCAGCTACCATCCACATTGATATTACTGCTGGATGAGAGTTCTGGGGCACTGGCCGCTGGAATTGTGAAAGAATTGACAGAGTCCACTGTGTCATAACCAGCCTGTAAAAGTAAAAAAAGAGTATTTAAAACTGCAACCAAATCCTATTCCAAATAAACCATCGCTTGCTTATCAGTAAGGTATAAATTTGACCATAAGTAATTTCATTTCTACTATTTGTAAAAAGTGCTAGGATCTTCACTCCACTTACCAGCCAAATTTGTCCTGTTTCTGCAATATCACCATAGTTGATCAGGATGAAAGAGCGTTCCCCATTGGAGGCTAAAACCACTTGGAAAGTGACCGACTTCAAAGACCAAACAAAAAACAAACATTGAACAATTGAGAACATTCATAACTAAAGACACACATAGAACATTCATCAAAAATCAGAGATTAGGTCTTACCCCTCCACCAGTGATGTACGGGACACTGTCCCATGTAGCCACAAAGGCTGATGAAGCAGTAAAAGGCACGTTAGGGAAATATTGGTGAACAGCTTCAGTGACTTGTGCCAGTACAGCACTGCTTGTATCCTCTCTATAGGAGATCGTTCCACCATCTACATTGAAAAGGTCAGTCCATAGAGGAGCAATGATGTCTATTCCAGCATTCAGGTAAGGGACGTAGGCAGATAGTGGTTGAGTAAACGTCAAGTGACCATTGTTGTTCACCTAAAATTCAGATTAAATTGCTGTAGAATTATCTGCTACCAGTCAAAAGTATAATTTGGTTTACATTTAAGAATATTCAGTTGTACACTCTCTTGACTAAAGAGACTTTTATAAAAAAAGATATTAATGCATAAATAATTGATGATGTAATAAATGGAAAACATCTTTAACCAAGAAGAAAAAGTCTAATCCTTACATAGATCTGATTGTATACGCGTCCAAAGTATTTGAAAGGCTGCTGCAAGTAAATGGCTTCAGAGCTTCCATCATCTGAAATGGGGTTTACTATGTCTCCATCCCCAAACGGCAGGAAATTAGCTGGGAAAAGGAAAAGCATAAGCTCCAGTGAATTGTTTAGTACTTCCACGGAAATGTATAACCTCAAAAATGGAAATGATTAAAAGTTTGAGGATCATGTTGCAGAAAAACAGGCAACTCTTTGACTTACTGTATGCCGATCCATCCACGCGGAAAGACCAGCGACCATCCACATTGATATTACTGCTGGATGAGAGTTCTGGGGCACTGGCCGCTGGAATTGTGAAAGAATTGACAGAGTCCACTGTGTCATAACCAGCCTGTAAAAGTAAAAAAAGAGTATTTAAAACTGCAACCAAATCCTATTCCAAATAAACCATCTCTTGCTTATCAGTAGGTATAAATTTGACCATAAGGGACTGTTGGTTATTTATTTAAGAGGCCACCATAGAAAATTTGAGATCTGTAGTCGAAAAAGACTTGACCCTCCCCTCGCCAGCAATATTTTTTTCTATGACCCTCCAAAATGGTTGTGAAAAAAGGCATGACCCTCCCCGATAATTTATTGATTACTTCTGTACTGGTTTGCGCTTGGCAAAGATGTTCAGATAGCCATAAACGACTAAACTCCTGCTTTCTCATCTTACTAGGGCTGTAACGATAGACCAAACCTACAATTCGGTTCGTATCACGAGTTTTGATTTGAATTTTTTTTTTTTTAAATCACGGTTTCGGTGCTGATGCAGTGCTGTAGCATGCAATTTTGCGCTCAAGTTGAAAGGCATTTTGTGCATAGTAAAACATATCTGCAACATTTATCAAGTTCACTGATAATTGTGCATGCATTTATTTATCATTATGATACTAAAATCATAATAAAGTAGTATGCTTCCCTTTCAATAGTCCAAATTCACAGCCATTTTCGTCTTTCTTCTGTGGATTTCATCAGCTCCTGATAGATCAAGTTTTCAGATACTGTAGATTGACAAACCAGCTCATTCAACCGCACAGCGCACACACCTCACGAATTCAAGCCTACAGCTCAGATTTACTCACTAACACTGTTCTGGAAACGCAATAAGAATGGAAACTAAAATATGGTCGCATCGTGCTACAGCGCACATTATATCAGCTGCAGTTCGGGCGCCTCAGTCCCAATACACTTGACGTACGTACATTCACATCACATGTTAATGGAGCGGTAGAGTTAGACACACAGGACAATGCATTTATTCACAATAACAAAAGTTCATTATTTGCTCGTGCTTTAAAGCTTTGCCGGGTAAACATTTCTTTGCCGTTCTGTTCTAATACACTTTTTCTGAGCGCTTACTGAAGCGCACGCGGACTGTCAAACAGTGACACGGATTTTTGTTGGGTCAGACCCATCCGACAGCGATGGCCCGGGGGCGATATTTTTTTCCCCAGGATGGTTGGGGAAGGTCCCGCGTTTTTCGCCTCTGATAGAAGGGCTCTCCTCCGATTGGTTATTTGATTTGTGTGTGTTGGGTAGGTTTAGGTGTGTGTGTGTGTCTGTTGGGTAGGTTTAGGAGTAGTGTGTGTGCGTTGGGTAGGTTTAGGTGTGTGAGTGTGTGTGTGTGTGTCTGTTGGGTAGGTTTAGCAGTATTGTGTGTGTTGGGTAGGTTTAGACGTGTGTGTGTGTTGGGTAGGTTTAGGAGTAGGGTCAAAACAGACTAGACGGGCTCTGCTAGCAGACAGCCTGCCATGAGCACGAGATGACGTTTCACGTCCAAATCAAATAACCAATCGGAGGAGAGCACTTCTAGCCAATCAGAGGCGAAAAAGGCAGGACCCAGACAGCAAACTGACATTGAATCAACGTGGAAACGACGTCTCTCATGACATTGAAACAACGTTGATTTTGCTCATCGAATTAACGTTGAACCAACGTCAGACGCGGCATTCTTCAAAGCTAAATGAAAATCGAAAATTGGTTTGCTTTCATAACGTTGAAACAACGCGTTGATTTCAAGTTGATTTTCCGTTAGTTTTGAAAGAATGACGCGTCTGACGTTGGTTCAACGTTAATTCGATGAGCAAAACAATGTCAGATCAACGTTGTTTCGATGTCATATTTCCACGTTGATTCAATGTCAGTTTGCTATCTGGGGACCTTCCCCTACCTTCCTGGAAAAAAAAATATTGCGGCCCGGTGGCCGAGACCGAGAGAGCTACATGGACCTACATGGAAAAAATATGCACCAAACAAGCCACTTTGAAATTTACCTGTTTTGATGAATACAAAATTTGGGTGACCCTCCCCTATAGACTAAAAAAAGTTGGATGACCCTCCCCTCATCAAAGAATAAAAAGACATGACCCTCCCCTATTTTCCTCCGGTGGACCTTTCCATAAATACCGAACGGTCCCTAAGTAATTTCTAGTCAGTAATTTCTACTATCTGTAAAAAGTGCTAGGATCTTCACTCCACTTACCAGCCAAATTTGTCCTGTTTCTGCAATATCACCATAGTTGATCAGGATGAAAGAACGTTCCCCATTGGAGGCTAAAACCACTTGGAAAGTGACCGACTTAAAAAATCAAACAAAAACCAACATTAAACAATTGAGAACATTCATAACTAAAGACACACATAGAGCATTCCTCAAAAATCAGAGATTAGGTCTTACCCCTCCACCAGTGATGTACGGGACACTGTCCCATGTAGCCACAAAGGCTGATGAAGCAGTAAAAGGCACGTTAGGGAAATATTGTGAACAGCTTCAGTGACTTGTTCCAGTACAGCACTGCTTGTATCCTCTCTATAGGAGATCGTTCCACCATCTACATTGAAAAGGTCAGTCCATAGAGGAGCAATGATGTCTATTCCAGCGTTCAGGTAAGGGACGTAGGCAGATAGTGGTTGAGTAAACGTCAAGTGACCATTGTTGTTCACCTAAAATTCAGATCAAATTGCTGTAGAATTATCTGCTACCAGTCAAAAGTATAATTCGGTTTACGCTTAAGAATATCCAGTTGTACACTTAGGCCCTGTTTACACGAGAACGCTCGCGGGTGAAAATGTAAAAATATTTTATCGGATGTGCCTTTCGTTTACTCAGAGATGGCGTTTTGGGGGCTTAAAGTCGCAAAAAAAGTGAAACCACCCTCCAGAGTGGAAATCTTAAAAACGCTCCACCGCCGCGTTCCCGTGTAAAGGGTAAAAACGAAAAGGTCTGCTTGACAGTGAAGGTTGTACGCAGGCGCGCGGTCTTGGTGTTGTTGTAGTATGCACTCTTAGCTGCCTGGAGTGTATACTACATTGAATTTCACAGAGTGTTGCGTTACCATCTGCACGTGGATTTCACACCCAAAACGCTCATCTAAACGCAGAATAAAAAGTGATAACGCAACGCCACTTTTGCGTTTTCTCTTCAGAATCGTTTCCGTGTAAACATAGCCTTAAACAAGAGAAAACTCTCTTGACTAAAGAGAATTTCATAAAAAAAATATTGATGCATAATTAATTGATGATGTAATAAATGGAAAACATCTTTAACCAAGAAGAAAAAGTCCAATCCTTACATAGATCTGATTGTATACGCGTCCAAAGTATTTGAAAGGCTGCTGCAAGTAAATGGCTTCAGAGCTTCCATCATCTGAAATGGGGTTTACTACATCACCATCCCCAAACGGCAGGAAATTAGCTGGGAAAAGGAAAAGCATAATTGCCAGTGAATTGTTTAGTACTTCCACAAAAATGTATAACCTCAAAAATGCAACTGATTAAAAGTTTGAAGATCATGTTGCAGAAAAACAGGCAACTCTTTGGCTTACTGTATGCCGATCTATCAACGCGGAAAGACCAGCTACCATCCACATTGATATTACTGCTGGATGAGAGTTCTGGGGCACTGGCCGCTGGAATTGTGAAAGAATTGACAGAGTCCACTGTGTCATAACCAGCCTGTAAAAGTAAAAAAAGAGTATTTAAAACTGCAACCAAATCCTATTCCAAATAAACCATCGCTTGCTTATCAGTAAGGTATAAATTTGACCATAAGTAATTTCATTTCTACTATTTGTAAAAAGTGCTAGGATCTTCACTCCACTTACCAGCCAAATTTGTCCTGTTTCTGCAATATCACCATAGTTGATCAGGATGAAAGAGCGTTCCCCATTGGAGGCTAAAACCACTTGGAAAGTGACCGACTTCAAAGACCAAACAAAAAACAAACATTGAACAATTGAGAACATTCATAACTAAAGACACACATAGAACATTCATCAAAAATCAGAGATTAGGTCTTACCCCTCCACCAGTGATGTACGGGACACTGTCCCATGTAGCCACAAAGGCTGATGAAGCAGTAAAAGTCACGTTAGGGAAATATTGGTGAACAGCTTCAGTGACTTGTGCCAGTACAGCACTGCTTGTATCCTCTCTATAGGAGATCGTTCCACCATCTACATTGAAAAGGTCAGTCCATAGAGGAGCAATGATGTCTATTCCAGCGTTCAGGTAAGGGACGTAGGCAGATAGTGGTTGAGTAAACGTCAAGTGACCATTGTTGTTCACCTAAAATTCAGATTAAATTGTTGTAGAATTATCTGCTACCAGTTAAAATTCTCATTCGGTTAATAAAGACGTTTAAAAATATCCAGTTGTACATTTAAACAAGGGAAAACTCTCTTGACTAAAGAGAATTTGATGGAAAAATATAGATGCATAATTAATTGATGATGTAATACATGGAAAAACATATTTAACCAAGCAGAAACCGTCCAATCCTTACATAGATCTGATTGTATACGCGTCCAAAGTATTTGAAAGGCTGCTGCAAGTAAATGGCTTCAGAGCTTCCATCATCTGAAATGGGGTTTACCATGTCTCCATCCCCAAATGGCAGGAAATTAGCTGGGAAAAGGAAAAGCATAAGCGCCAGTGAATTGTTTAGTACTTCCACGGAAATGTATAACCTCAAAAATGGAAATGATTAAAAGTTTGAGGATCATGTTGCAGAAAAACAGGCAACTCTTTGGCTTACAGTATGCCGATCCATCAACGCGGAAAGACCAGCGACCATCCACATTGATATTACTGCTGGATGAGAGTTCTGGGGCACTGGCCGCTGGAATTGTGAAAGAATTGACAGAGTCCACTGTGTCATAACCAGCCTGTAAAAGTAAAAAAAGAGTATTTAAAACTGCAACCAAATCCTATTCCAAATAAACCATCTCTTGCTTATCAGTAGGTATAAATTTGACCATAAGGGACTGTTGGTTATTTATTTAAGGGGCCACCGGAGGAGATTTGAGATCTGTAGTCGAAAAAGACTTGACCCTCCCCTCGCCAGCAATATTTTTTTCTATGACCCTCCAAAATGGTTGTGAAAAAAGGCATGACCCTCCCCGATAATTTATTGATTACTTCTGTACTGGTTTGCGCTTGGCAAAGATGTTCAGATAGCCATAAACGACTAAACTCCTGCTTTCTCATCTTACTAGGGCTGTAACGATAGACCAAACCTACAATTCGGTTCGTATCACGAGTTTTGATTTGAATTTTTTTTTTTTTAAATCACGGTTTCGGTGCTGATGCAGTGCTGTAGCATGCAATTTTGCGCTCAAGTTGAAAGGCATTTTGTGCATAGTAAAACATATCTGCAACATTTATCAAGTTCACTGATAATTGTGCATGCATTTATTTATCATTATGATACTAAAATCATATTAAAGTAGTATGCTTCCCTTTCAATAGTCCAAATTCACGGCCATTTTCGTCTTTCTTCTGTGGATTTCATCAGCTCCTGATAGATCAAAGCTGTGTCTGAAACCGCTCACTCGTTCACTCATTCACTAATCCATATATAGTGTATGGCATTTGAGTGCACTATATCTGCAAGGAGTGAACGAGATGAAGTGAGTGAATTCGGACGCTGACGTTTACACTGTGCGTCGGAGAGTTGGAGCTGTCGCAGAAAAGGCTTTGTCACGCGTACTGATAAAACTCCTTTTATCTTACATTACCTACTTTATAAAATAATATTAACAACAATAACAATCATAATGACTTTATTTTGTAATTATACCCCCGTGCCAGCTTTGTAGTTTCATCGACTGAAATTGTCTGTTAACTCTCACGTTCACAGATGACGTGTCGTCGAGCGCCCTCCGGCGACCGTTATTATATTCAAAACGACGATTAACGGATATTTTTCAAATCCTCCACTGGATGTAATGTAATCTCAGTTCTCTCCGCATTGGATTGTGGGAAATAGGGCTTCAGCAAGTGTACATCGAATGTACACTCGAATTCAGAGAGGATTGTGGGTAAAAGTAGTGAATGAATGTAGGGAATGATGTTGTTCACTCAGAATTCGGACACCACTACAAAATGGCCGACACCCGATATAGTGCACTATATAGTGGATAGGGAGCGATTTCAGACACAGCTCAAGTTTTCAGATACTGTAGATTGACAAACCAGCTCATTCAACCGCACAGCGCACACACCTCACGAATTCAAGCCTACAGCTCAGATTTACTCACTAACACTGTTCTGGAAAAGCAATAAGAATGGAAACTAAAATATGGTCGCATCGTGCTACAGCGCACATTATATCAGCTGCAGTTCGGGCGCCCCAGTCCCAATACACTCGACGTACGTACATTCACATCACATGTTAATGGAGCGGTAGAGTTAGACACACAGGACAATGCATTTATTCACAATAACAAAGGTTCATTATTTGCTCGTGCTTTAAAGCTTTGCCGGGTAAACATTTCTTTGCCGTTCTGTTCTAATGTACTTTTTCTGAGCGCGTACTGTAGCGAACGCGGACTGTCAAACAGTGACACGGATTTTTGTTGGGTCAGACCCATCCGACAGCGATGGCCCGGGGGCGATATTTTTTTCCCCAGGATGGTTGGGGAAGGTCCCGCGTTTTTCGCCTCTGATTGGCTAGAAGGGCTCTCCTACGATTGGTTATTTGATTTGTGTGTGTGTATGTTGGCTTGGGTAAGTTTAGTAGTAGGTTAGTGTGTGTATTTTGGGTTGGGAGTAGTGTGTGTGTGTTGGGCAGGTTTAGGTGTGTGTGTCTGTTGGGTAGGTTTAGGAGTAGTGTGTGTGCGTTGGGTAAGTTTAGGTGTGTGAGTGTGTGTGTGTGTGTGTGTCTGTTGGGTAGGTTTAGCAGTATTGTGTGTGTTGGGTAGGTTTAGACGTGTGTGTGTGTTGGGTAGGTTTAGGAGTAGGGTCAAAACAGACTAGACGGGCTCTGCTAGCAGACAGCCTGCCATGAGCACGAGATGACGTTTCACGGCCAAATCAAATAACCAATCGGAGGAGAGCACTTCTAGCCAATCAGAGGCGAAAAAGGCGGGACCTTCCCCTACCTTCCTGGAAAAAAAAATATTGCGGCCCGGTGGCCGAGACCGAGAGAGCTACATGGAGCTACATGGAAAAAATATGCACCAAACAAGCCACTTTGAAATGTACCTGTTTTGATGAATACAAAATTTGGGTGACCCTCCCCTATAGACTAAAAAAATTGGATGACCCTCCCCTCATCAAAGAATAAAAAGACATGACCCTCCCCTATTTTCCTCCGGTGGACCTTTCCATAAATACCGAACGGTCCCTAAGTAATTTCTACTATCTGTAAAAAGTGCTAGGATCTTCACTCCACTTACCAGCCAAATTTGTCCTGTTTCTGCAATATCACCATAGTTGATCAGGATGAAAGAGCGTTCCCCATTGGAGGCTAAAACCACTTGGAAAGTGACCGACTTAAAAAATCAAACAAAAACCAACATTGAACAATTGAGAACATTCATAACTAAAGACACACATAGAGCATTCATCAAAAATCAGAGATTAGGTCTTACCCCTCCACCAGTGATGTACGGGACACTGTCCCATGTAGCCACAAAGGCTGATGAAGCAGTAAAAGTCACGTTAGGGAAATATTGTTGAACAGCTTCAGTGACTTGTGCCAGTACAGCACTGCTTGTATCCTCTCTATAGGAGATCGTTCCACCATCTACATTGAAAAGGTCAGTCCATAGAGGAGCAATGATGTCTATTCCAGCGTTCAGGTAAGGGACGTAGGCAGATAGTGGTTGAGTAAACGTCAAGTGACCATTGTTGTTCACCTAAAATTCAGATCAAATTGCTGTAGAATTATCTGCTACCAGTCAACAGTATAATTCGGTTTACGCTTAAGAATATCCAGTTGTACACTTAGGCCCTGTTTACACGAGAACGCTCGCGGGTGAAAATGTAAAAATATTTTATCGGATGTGCCTTTCGTTTACTCAGAGATGGCGTTTTGGGGGCTTAAAGACGCAAAAAAAGTGAAACCACCCTCCAGAGTGGAAATCTTAAAAACGCTCCACCGCCGCGTTCCCGTGTAAAGGGTAAAAACGAAAAGGTCTGCTTGACAGTGAAGGTTGTACGCAGGCGCGCGGTCTTGGTGTTGTTGTAGTATACACTCTTAGCTGCCTGGAGTGCATACTACATTGAATTTCACAGACTTTTGCGTTACCATCTGCACGTGGATTTCAGACCCAAAACGCTCATCTAAACGCAGAATAAAAAGTGATAACGCAACGCCACTTTTGCGTTTTCTCTTCAGAATCGTTTCCGTGTAAACATAGCCTTAAACAAGAGAAAACTCTCTTGACTAAAGAGAATTTCATAAAAAAAATATTGATGCATAATTAATTGATGATGTAATAAATGGAAAACATCTTTAACCAAGAAGAAAAAGTCCAATCCTTACATAGATCTGATTGTATACGCGTCCAAAGTATTTGAAAGGCTGCTGCAAGTAAATGGCTTCAGAGCTTCCATCATCTGAAATGGGGTTTACTATGTCTCCATCCCCAAATGGCAGGAAATTAGCTGGGAAAAGTAAAAGCATAAGCGCCAGTGAATTGTTTAGTACTTCCACAAAAATGTATAACCTCAAAAATGCAACTGATTAAAAGTTTGAAGATCATGTTGCAGAAAAAAAGGCAACTCTTTGGCTTACTGTATGCCGATCTATCAACGCGGAAAGACCAGCGACCATCCACATTGATATTACTGCTGGATGAGAGTTCTGGGGCACTGGCCGCTGGAATTGTGAAAGAATTGACAGAGTCCACTGTGTCATAACCAGCCTGTAAAAGTAAAAAAAGAGTTTTTAAAACTGCAACCAAATCCTATTCCAAATAAACCATCTCTTGCTTATCATTAAGGTATAAATTTGACCATAAGTAATTTCTAGTCAGTCATTTCTACTATTTGTAAAAAGTGCTAGGATCTTCACTCCACTTACCAGCCAAATTTGTCCTGTTTCTGCAATATCACCATAGTTGATCAGGATGAAAGAGCGTTCCCCATTGGAGGCTAAAACCACTTGGAAAGTGACCGACTTCAAAGACCAAACAAAAAACAAACATTGAACAATTGAGAACATTCATAACTAAAGACACACATAGAGCATTCATCAAAAATCAGAGATTAGGTCTTACCCCTCCACCAGTGATGTACGGGACACTGTCCCATGTAGCCACAAAGGCTGATGAAGCAGTAAAAGTCACGTTAGGGAAATATTGGTGAACAGCTTCAGTGACTTGTTCCAGTACAGCACTGCTTGTATCCTCTCTATAGGAGATCGTTCCACCATTTACATTGAAAAGGTCAGTCCATAGAGGAGCAATGATGTCTATTCCAGCGTTCAGGTAAGGGACGTAGGCAGATAGTGGTTGAGTAAACGTCAAGTGACCATTGTTGTTCACCTAAAATTCAGATTAAATTGTTGTAGAATTATCTGCTACCAGTTAAAATTCTCATTCGGTTAATAAAGACGTTTAAAAATATCCAGTTGTACATTTAAACAAGGGAAAACTCTCTTGACTAAAGAGAATTTGATGAAAAATATAGATGCATAATTAATTGATGATGTAATACATGGAAAAACATATTTAACCAAGCAGAAACAGTCCAATCCTTACATAGATCTGATTATATACGCGTCCAAAGTATTTGAAAGGCTGCTGCAAGTAAATGGCTTCAGAGCTTCCATCATCTGAAATGGGGTTTACCATGTCTCCATCCCCAAATGGCAGGAAATTAGCTGGGAAAAGGAAAAGCATAAGCGCCAGTGAATTGTTTAGTACTTCCACGGAAATGTATAACCTCAAAAATGGAAATGATTAAAAGTTTGAGGATCATGTTGCAGAAAAACAGGCAACTCTTTGGCTTACAGTATGCCGATCCATCAACGCGGAAAGACCAGCGACCATCCACATTGATATTACTGCTGGATGAGAGTTCTGGGGCACTGGCCGCTGGAATTGTGAAAGAATTGACAGAGTCCACTGTGTCATAACCAGCCTGTAAAAGTAAAAAAAGAGTATTTAAAACTGCAACCAAATCCTATTCCAAATAAACCATCTCTTGCTTATCATTAAGGTATAAATTTGACCATAAGCAATTTCTAGTCAGTCATTTCTACTATTTGTAAAAAGTGCTAGGATCTTCACTCCACTTACCAGCCAAATTTGTCCTGTTTCTGCAATATCACCATAGTTGATCAGGATGAAAGAGCGTTCCCCATTGGAGGCTAAAACCACTTGGAAAGTGACCGACTTCAAAGACCAAACAAAAAACAAACATTGAACAATTGAGAACATTCATAACTAAAGACACACATAGAACATTCATCAAAAATCAGAGATTAGGTCTTACCCCTCCACCAGTGATGTACGGGACACTGTCCCATGTAGCCACAAAGGCTGATGAAGCAGTAAAAGTCACGTTAGGGAAATATTGTTGAACAGCTTCAGTGACTTGTGCCAGTACAGCACTGCTTGTATCCTCTCTATAGGAGATCGTTCCACCATCTACATTGAAAAGGTCAGTCCATAGAGGAGCAATGATGTCTATTCCAGCGTTCAGGTAAGGGACGTAGGCAGATAGTGGTTGAGTAAACGTCAAGTGACCATTGTTGTTCACCTAAAATTCAGATCAAATTGCTGTAGAATTATCTGCTACCAGTCAACAGTATAATTCGGTTTACGCTTAAGAATATCCAGTTGTACACTTAGGCCCTGTTTACACGAGAACGCTCGCGGGTGAAAATGTAAAAATATTTTATCGGATGTGCCTTTCGTTTACTCAGAGATGGCGTTTTGGGGGCTTAAAGACGCAAAAAAAGTGAAACCACCCTCCAGAGTGGAAATCTTAAAAACGCTCCACCGCCGCGTTCCCGTGTAAAGGGTAAAAACGAAAAGGTCTGCTTGACAGTGAAGGTTGTACGCAGGCGCGCGGTCTTGGTGTTGTTGTAGTATACACTCTTAGCTGCCTGGAGTGCATACTACATTGAATTTCACAGACTTTTGCGTTACCATCTGCACGTGGATTTCAGACCCAAAACGCTCATCTAAACGCAGAATAAAAAGTGATAACGCAACGCCACTTTTGCGTTTTCTCTTCAGAATCGTTTCCGTGTAAACATAGCCTTAAACAAGAGAAAACTCTCTTGACTAAAGAGAATTTCATAAAAAAAATATTGATGCATAATTAATTGATGATGTAATAAATGGAAAACATCTTTAACCAAGAAGAAAAAGTCCAATCCTTACATAGATCTGATTGTATACGCGTCCAAAGTATTTGAAAGGCTGCTGCAAGTAAATGGCTTCAGAGCTTCCATCATCTGAAATGGGGTTTACTATGTCTCCATCCCAAATGGCAGGAAATTAGCTGGGAAAAGTAAAAGCATAAGCGCCAGTGAATTGTTTAGTACTTCCACAAAAATGTATAACCTCAAAAATGCAACTGATTAAAAGTTTGAAGATCATGTTGCAGAAAAAAAGGCAACTCTTTGGCTTACTGTATGCCGATCTATCAACGCGGAAAGACCAGCGACCATCCACATTGATATTACTGCTGGATGAGAGTTCTGGGGCACTGGCCGCTGGAATTGTGAAAGAATTGACAGAGTCCACTGTGTCATAACCAGCCTGTAAAAGTAAAAAAAGAGTTTTTAAAACTGCAACCAAATCCTATTCCAAATAAACCATCTCTTGCTTATCATTAAGGTATAAATTTGACCATAAGTAATTTCTAGTCAGTCATTTCTACTATTTGTAAAAAGTGCTAGGATCTTCACTCCACTTACCAGCCAAATTTGTCCTGTTTCTGCAATATCACCATAGTTGATCAGGATGAAAGAGCGTTCCCCATTGGAGGCTAAAACCACTTGGAAAGTGACCGACTTCAAAGACCAAACAAAAAACAAACATTGAACAATTGAGAACATTCATAACTAAAGACACACATAGAGCATTCATCAAAAATCAGAGATTAGGTCTTACCCCTCCACCAGTGATGTACGGGACACTGTCCCATGTAGCCACAAAGGCTGATGAAGCAGTAAAAGTCACGTTAGGGAAATATTGGTGAACAGCTTCAGTGACTTGTTCCAGTACAGCACTGCTTGTATCCTCTCTATAGGAGATCGTTCCACCATTTACATTGAAAAGGTCAGTCCATAGAGGAGCAATGATGTCTATTCCAGCGTTCAGGTAAGGGACGTAGGCAGATAGTGGTTGAGTAAACGTCAAGTGACCATTGTTGTTCACCTAAAATTCAGATTAAATTGTTGTAGAATTATCTGCTACCAGTTAAAATTCTCATTCGGTTAATAAAGACGTTTAAAAATATCCAGTTGTACATTTAAACAAGGGAAAACTCTCTTGACTAAAGAGAATTTGATGGAAAAATATAGATGCATAATTATTTGATGATGTAATACATGGAAAAACATATTTAACCAAGCAGAAACAGTCCAATCCTTACATAGATCTGATTATATACGCGTCCAAAGTATTTGAAAGGCTGCTGCAAGTAAATGGCTTCAGAGCTTCCATCATCTGAAATGGGGTTTACCATGTCTCCATCCCCAAATGGCAGGAAATTAGCTGGGAAAAGGAAAAGCATAAGCGCCAGTGAATTGTTTAGTACTTCCACGGAAATGTATAACCTCAAAAATGGAAATGATTAAAAGTTTGAGGATCATGTTGCAGAAAAACAGGCAACTCTTTGGCTTACAGTATGCCGATCCATCAACGCGGAAAGACCAGCGACCATCCACATTGATATTACTGCTGGATGAGAGTTCTGGGGCACTGGCCGCTGGAATTGTGAAAGAATTGACAGAGTCCACTGTGTCATAACCAGCCTGTAAAAGTAAAAAAAGAGTATTTAAAACTGCAACCAAATCCTATTCCAAATAAACCATCTCTTGCTTATCAGTAAGGTATAAATTTGACCATAAGGGACTGTTGGTTATTTATTTAAGGGGCCACCGGAGGAGATTTGAGATATGTAGTCGAAAAAGACTTGACCCTCCCCTCGCCAGCAATATTTTTTTCTATGACCCTCCAAAATTTTGGTGAAAAAAGGCATGACCCTCCCCGATAATTTATTGATTACTTCTGTACTGGTTTGCGCTTGGCAAAGATGTTCAGATAGCCATAAACGACTAAACTCCTGCTTTCTCATCTTACTAGGGCTGTAACGATAGACCAAACCTACAATTCGGTTCGTATCACAAGTTTTGATTTGAATTTTTTTTTTTTTAAATCACGGTTTCGGTGCTGATGCAGTGCTGTAGCATGCAATTTTGCGCTCAAGTTGAAAGGCATTTTGTGCATAGTAAAACATATCTGCAACATTTATCAAGTTCACTGATAATTGTGCATGCATTTATTTATCATTATGATACTAAAATCATAATAAAGTAGTATGCTTCCCTTTCAATAGTCCAAATTCACGGCCATTTTCGTCTTTCTTCTGTGGATTTCATCAGCTCCTGATAGATCAAATTTTCAGATACTGTAGATCGACAAACCAGCTCATTCAACCGCACAGCGCACACACCTCACGAATTCAAGCCTACAGCTCAGATTTACTCACTAACACTGTTCTGGAAACGCAATAAGAATGGAAACTAAAATATGGTCGCATCGTGCTACAGCGCACATTATATCAGCTGCAGTTCGGGCGCCCCAGTCCCAATACACTCGATGTACGTACATTCACATCACATGTTAATGGAGCGGTAGAGTTAGACACACAGGACAATGCATTTATTCACAATAACAAAGGTTCATTATTTGCTCGTGCTTTAAAGCTTTGCCGGGTAAACATTTCTTTGCCGTTCTGTTCTAATGTACTTTTTCTGAGCGCGTACTGTAGCGAACGCGGACTGTCAAACAGTGACACGGATTTTTGTTGGGTCAGACCCATCCGACAGCGATGGCCCGGGGGCGATATTTTTTCTCCCCAGGATGGTTGGGGAAGGTCCCGCGTTTTTCGCCTCTGATTGGCTAGAAGGGCTCTCCTCCGATTGGTTATTTGATTTGTGTGTGTGTATGTTGGCTTGGGTAAGTTTAGTAGTAGGTTAGTGTGTGTCTTTTGGGTTGGGAGTAGTGTGTGTGTGTTGGGCAGGTTTAGGTGTGTGTGTCTGTTGGGTAGGTTTAGGAGTAGTGTGTGTGCGTTGGGTAGGTTTAGGTGTGTGAGTGTGTGTGTGTGTGTGTCTGTTGGGTAGGTTTAGCAGTATTGTGTGTGTTGGGTAGGTTTAGACGTGTGTGTGTGTGTTGGGTAGGTTTAGGAGTAGGGTCAAAACAGACTAGACGGGCTCTGCTAGCAGACAGCCTGCCATGAGCACGAGATGACGTTTCACGGCCAAATCAAATAACCAATCGGAGGAGAGCACTTCTAGCCAATCAGAGGCGAAAAAGGCGGGACCTTCCCCTACCTTCCTGGAAAAAAAAAATATTGCGGCCCGGTGGCCGAGACCGAGAGAGCTACATGGAGCTACATGGAAAAAATATGCACCAAACAAGCCACTTTGAAATTTACCTGTTTTGATGAATACAAAATTTGGGTGACCCTCCCCTATAGACTAAAAAAAGTTGGATGACCCTCCCCTCATCAAAGAATAAAAAGACATGACCCTCCCCTATTTTCCTCCGGTGGACCTTTCCATAAATACCGAACGGTCCCTAAGTAATTTCTACTATCTGTAAAAAGTGCTAGGATCTTCACTCCACTTACCAGCCAAATTTGTCCTGTTTCTGCAATATCACCATAGTTGATCAGGATGAAAGAGCGTTCCCCATTGGAGGCTAAAACCACTTGGAAAGTGACCGACTTAAAAAATCAAACAAAAACCAACATTGAACAATTGAGAACATTCATAACTAAAGACACACATAGAGCATTCATTAAAAATCAGAGATTAGGTCTTACCCCTCCACCAGTGATGTACGGGACACTGTCCCATGTAGCCACAAAGGCTGATGAAGCAGTAAAAGTCACGTTAGGGAAATATTGGTGAACAGCTTCAGTGACTTGTGCCAGTACAGCACTGCTTGTATCCTCTCTATAGGAGATCGTTCCACCATTTACATTGTTAAGGTCAGTCCATAGAGGAGAAATGATGTCTATTCCAGCATTCAGGTAAGGGACGTAGGCAGATAGTGGTTGAGTAAACGTCAAGTGACCATTGTTGTTCACCTAAAATTCAGATCAAATTGCTGTAGAATTATCTGCTACCAGTCAAAAGTATAATTTGGTTTACATTTAAGAATATCCAGTTGTACACTCTCTTGACTAAAGAGACTTTTATAAGAAAAAACATTGATGCATAAATAATTGATGATGTAATAAATGGAAAACATCTTTAACCAAGAAGAAAAAGTCCAATCCTTACATAGATCTGATTGTATACGCGTCCAAAGTATTTGAAAGGCTGCTGCAAGTAAATGGCTTCAGAGCTTCCATCATCTGAAATGGGGTTTACTACATCACCATCCCCAAATGGCAGGAAATTAGCTAGGAAAAGGAAAAGCATAAGCACCATTGAATTGTTTAGTACTTCCACAGAAATATATAACCTAAAAAATGCAACTGGTTAAATGTTTGAGGATCATGTTGCAGAAAAACAGGCAACTCTTTGGCTTACAGTATGCCGATCTATCAACGCGGAAAGACCAGCGACCATCCACATTGATATTACTGCTGGATGAGAGTTCTGGGGCACTGGCCGCTGGAATTGTGAAAGAATTGACAGAGTCCACTGTGTCATAACCAGCCTGTAAAAGTAAAAAAAGAGTATTTAAAACTGCAACCAAATCCTATTCCAAATAAACCATCTCTTGCTTATCATTAAGGTATAAATTTGACTATAAGTAATTTCTAGTCAGTCATTTCTACTATTTGTAAAACGTGCTAGGATCTTCACTCCACTTACCAGCCAAATTTGTCCTGTTTCTGCAATATCACCATAGTTGATCAGGATAAAAGAGCGTTCCCCATTGGAGGCCAAAACCACTTGGAAAGTGACCGACTTCAAAGACCAAACAAAAAACAAACATTGAACAATTGAGAACATTCATAACTAAAGACACACATAGAGCATTCATCAAAAATCAGAGATTAGGTCTTACCCCTCCACCAGTGATGTACGGGACACTGTCCCATGTAGCCACAAAGGCTGATGAAGCAGTAAAAGTCACGTTAGGGAAATATTGGTGAACAGCTTCAGTGACTTGTTCCAGTACAGCACTGCTTGTATCCTCTCTATAGGAGATTGTTCCACCATTTACATTTTTAAGGTCAGTCCATAGAGGAGCAATGATGTCTATTCCAGCATTCAGGTAAGGGACGTAGGCAGATAGTGGTTGAGTAAACGTCAAGTGACCATTGTTGTTCACCTAAAATTCAGATCAAATTGCTGTAGAATTATCTGCTACCAGTCAAAAGTATAATTTGGTTTACATTTAAGAATATCCAGTTGTACACTCTCTTGACTAAAGAGACTTTTATAAAAAAAAATATTGATGCATAATTAATTGATGATGTAATAAATGGAAAACATCTTTAACTCTTTCCCCGCCAAACACGGAATTTTCCGTGTTTAATGAAAAAACGCATCCCCGCCAAACACGGAATTTTCCGGGTATCCGTGTTTTAGGTGGTATACGGTAAGGAAGACCCGCGCGCATGTCCTGAATGAGTGCGCAACTCTTTGATCAGAGAAACAGATTGCAATCGTCTCAAACAGTGGAGTAGTGAGAATGTATCAGACAGACAATGCAGAGGTATATGGCTGAAGTACTGGAGGTTAATGGACTCGGAGTCCGATCACTCTTTATTTGATAATTCTGAATCTGATCGGGACGAAGTAGTCAGTGAGAGAGATGCACATGTTGTCACAGAAAGTTCTAGCCATGGACGTGCCGCAGATAGATCGTATAATATTATGACACTATAATATTTATGTGTGTGTGCAGGCATGTATGTGTGGCTGTCTAAATATGAAGGTGTCATTGTCAAATTATTTCTCTCTTTGTGCACATTTACCACATTGTAATATGTATTTGTGTGTGTGTGTGTGTGTGTGTGTGTGTGTGTGTGTGTGTGTGTCTATGCCTTTTTATTGTAATTCCAATTATTCATTATTCACAGGTAGAACACAGAGAGGCAGAGGCAGAAGTTTTATTGCAAAAGTTACATTTCCCTTACATCCTGGGAAATTTGATATATTTTACATTTATTTATGTTTTTAATTTATTTTGGAAAGATTTATATATGAAGGAAACAACATTTGAATGTATTCTGCTTTTAAATGCACTTGTTTGATAAAAATACCTTTTTCTCAGTTTTTTGTCCAAAATGTTGTGTTTTTGACAAAACCTACCTCTGTTCAAGAGGCAATAAAAAAAGAACAGATGAAGATAAAATAAAAACGTTTTTTTTTTTGCCTAAAAGCAGAGGCTCAGATCTTTATTTTTATATATATCATCTTCATATATTCATGGAAGAAAATATTCAGCGGGGCATTAAAATTTAGCGAAAATCGTCAAAAACCCTGGCGGTGGCTGGCAACTTTTTTTTAAAACGCTGGCGGGGAAAGAGTTAACCAAGAAGAAGAAGTCCAATCATTACATAGATCTGATTGTATACGCGTCCAAAGTATTTGAAAGGCTGCTGCAAGTAAATGGCTTCAGAGCTTCCATCATCTGAAATGGGGTTTACTATGTCTCCATCCCCAAATGGCAGGAAATTAGCTGGGAAAAGTAAAAGCATAAGCGCCAGTGAATTGTTTAGTACTTCCACAAAAATGTATAACCTCAAAAATGCAACTGATTAAAAGTTTGAAGATCATGTTCCAGAAAAACAGGCAACTCTTTGGCTTACTGTATGCCGATTCATCAACGCGGAAAGACCAGCGACCATCCACATTGATATTACTGCTGGATGAGAGTTCTGGGGCACTGGCCGCTGGAAGTGTGAAAGAATTGACAGAGTCCACTGTGTCATAACCAGCCTGTAAAAGTAAAAAACAAGTATTTAAAACCTCAAGCAAATCCTATTTAAATTAAGTAATCTCTTGCCAATACACTTTAATTCGATCACAAGTAATTTCTTGTCAATCATTTCTGCTATTTGTAAAACGTGTTAGGATTGTCTCTCCACTCACCAGCCAAACTTGTCCTGTTTCTGCAATATCACCATAGTTGATCAGGATGAAAGAGCGTTCACCATTGGAGACTAAAACCACTTGGAAAGTTGCCGACTTTCAAAAAATAAAAATAAAAACAAACATTGAACAATGGAGAACATCCATAAGCAAAAAACACACATAGAGCATTCATCAAAAATCAGAGATTAGGTCTTACCCCTCCCCCCGTGTAGTACGGCACACGGTCCCAGGTAGCCACAAAGGCTGATGAAGCAGTAAAAGGCACATTTGGGAAATATTGGTGAACAGCTTCAGTGACTTGTTCTAGTACAGCACTGCTTGTATCCTCTCTATAGGAGATTGTTCCACCATTTACATTTTTAAGGTCAGTCCATAGAGGAGCAATGATGTCTATTCCAGTGTTCAGGTAAGGGACGAAGGCAGATAGTGGTTGAGTAAATGTCAAGTGACCATTGTTGTTCACCTAAAATTCAGATCAAATTGCTGTACAATTATCTGCTAACAGACAAAAGTATCATTCAGTTTACAAAGACGTTAAAAAACATCCAGTTGTACACTTAAACAGGAGAAAACGTCTCAGTTACGGATGTAACCCTCGTTCCCTGAGTAGGAAACAGAGACGTTACGTCGGATGACGGAGAATGGGGGTTTCGCATAGAAAGCCAATCCTCTTCGAGTACTGTATTTAAAAACGAGACAATGACCTTAAAAATGCCTTGGGGCTGCGGAATTTGCATAGCGTATCTCCGCCCCACCTCGTGGGTATAAAAGGAGGAAGCAGACGCAACCGCAGTATGTCTTCGCTGAGGAGCCGAGACTGAACTCAGGCGTCTACCCAGCAGTACAGCGGAAGTGGCAGGCAGACGTAACGTCTCCGTTCCCTACTCAGAAGTTACGTCGGATAACGGAGAATGGGGGTCGGTGCCATACCAGTACGCCTACCCGTAGGGAGGACTTAAGAATACACATATGGCCCAAGGGGACTTCATATGGGGGAACACTGGAGTCACCAACCTGGGGGTGGCTAGAAACTTAACTCCAGGAGTGGCATGGTGGCTTGCCGAGGGAAGACACATGCTCAGAGAAGCTTACAGTGGAGAATACATATGTGACCGTTACCGTAGGGAACCATACACACGGAGGCACCTAGCCGACGTCCATAGCAAAAGACACTGGCACCAGCATCAACAGTGCTGGAGGACTCAGGGCTCAGCCAAGGAAATATCGCACTTATCCAGTCCGAGGAGTGGAATGGCGAGCAAGTGAAGACACCTGAGCGGGTACAGTACTGGCAGAAGCGAGTACACGAGAGGACAAAGCTCCACTCGAAGATTATAGAATCTTGCGAATGTATTCGTGTCGCCCAGCCTGCAGCTCTGCAGATGTCTGTTAGCGAGGCGCCATAAACTAGAGCCCAAGAGGAAGCCACACTCCGAGTGGAGTGGGCCGTCACACCAAGGGGGCACGGTCGACCTTGCTGCTGGTACGCCAAAGCAATGGTGTCCACTATCCAATGAGACAGCCGCTGCTTTGAGAGAGCCCTTCCCTTCTGGCTCCCACCATAACAAAGAGCTGGTCTGAGGTCCTAAAACACCGCGTTCTGTCTACGTAAGCACGGAGTGCACGTACCGGACAGAGCAGTGCCAAGGCTGGGTCTGCCTCCTCCAGAGGCAGTGCTTGCAGGCTCACCACCTGGTCCCGGAAAGGGAGTGGTAGGGACCTTGGGCATATATCCAGGCCGGGGTCTCAGGATCACGTGAGAGTATGCCGGCCCGAACTCCAGGCACGCTTCGTCAACGGAGAATGCGTGCAGGTCCCCCACCCTCTTGATGGAGGCCAATGCAACCAGGAGAGCTGTCTTTATGGATAGGAACTTAATCTCTACTGATTGCAAAGGCTCAAAGGGAGGCCTCTGCAGGGCACTTAAAACCACTGAGAGGTCCCAAGAGGGCACGAGGGGAGGGCGAGGAGGATTCAGTCTCCTCGCTCCCCTCAGGAACCTGATGAACAGGTCATGCTTTCCCAATGACTTACCTTCAACTGCTTCATGGAACGGGCCAATAGCCGCGACATAAACCTTAAGGGTGGAGGGAGACAGCCTACGCTCCAACCCTTCTTGCAGGAAGGAAAGCACGACGCTGATCGGGCATCTCCGGGTGTCTTCTCGGCGAGAAGAGAACCAGTTGGTGAAGAGGTTCCACTTCAACGCATAGACGTCGTCTAGTGGACGACGCTCTAGCGGAAGTGATGGTAGCTGCCACCGCAGGTGGCAGGGAACTCAAACCTGCCTCGTCCCATCCAGGAGCCACACGTGTAGTCTTCAGAGCTCGGGACGAGGGTGCCACAAGGTGCCCCGTCTCTGAGAAAGGAGGTCCTTCCTCAGAGGAATTGGCCAAGGAGGTGCTGTCACGAGGAACATCAGTTCGGAGAACCAAGTCTTGGTGGGCCAATAAGGGGCTACCAACAACACCTGCTCCTCGTCCTCCTTGATCTTGAACAGAGTCCGTGCGAGAAGGCTCACTGGGGGAAACGCATACTTGCATAGACCCCACGGCCAGCTGTGCGCCAAGGCGTCTGTGCCGAGCATGCCCTCGGACAGAGAGTAATACAGGGCGCAATGGGATGAGTGCTGGGAAGCGATCAGATCTATCTGTGCCTCCCCAAACTGGTCCCATATCAGCTGGACTGACTGGGGATGGAGTCGCCATTCGCCAGAGACTGGACGGAGCCGTGACAGCTCGTCGGCTGCCAGGTTCTGATCTCCTGGAATGTAAATAGCACGAAGGGACCTCAGGTGCTTCTGACTCCATAATAGGAGGTAGCGTGCGAGCTGCGACATCCGATGTGAGCGTAGACCACCCTGATGTTTGATATACGCTACTGTCACGGTATTGTCTGATCGGACAAGTACGTGTTGACCCCGGAGCAATGCTCGAAAGTGGTGTAGGGCCAGGCGTACTGCCAGCAGCTCGAGGCAATTGATATGCATAAGGTGCTGGGGACCTGTCCAGGAACCCGCGGCTGCATGTCCATTGCACATGGCTCCCCAACCCGTGGTAGAGGCATCCGTGGAGACAACCACATGCCTGGAAACTCGCAGAAGAGGGACACCGGCCCGTAAAAAGCTGAGGTTCGACCACGGGAAGAAGGTCTGGTGGCAGGTCTGACGGACGAGTCACTGGGACCCTGAGTGAACCACGATGCCATGCCCACCTCGGGACTTGATCGCGAAGCCACAGCTGAAGCGGTCCCATATGAAGCAGTCCGAGCTGCGTCGCCGCGGCTGCGGATGCCATATAACCCAGGAGCCTCTGAAAGAGTTTCAGTGGGACCGCACTCTTGCCCTCAAACTGTCGAAGACAAGTCAGCAGTGAGTGAGCGCGCTCGCTGGTGAGCTGCACGGACATGGCGACAGAGTCTATCTCCATACAGAGAAAAGAGATCCTCTGCACGGGGCAAAGTTTGCTCTTCTCCCGATTGACCCGAAGGCCCAGACGGGTTAGGTGCCAGAGCACAAGGTGCCAGAATCAGCCAATCGTCGAGATAATTCAGGAATGCGAACCCCGTGTTCGCGAAGGGGAACAAGGGCCGCCTCAACAATCTTCGTAAAGAAGCGAAGACACAGAGCTAACCCGAATGGGAGGACCATGTACTGATATGCCTGTCCCTCGAAGGCAAACCACAGAAATGGTCTGTGTCGAGGCAAGATGGAGACATGAAAGTACGCATCCTTCAGGTCTATCGCTGCAAATCAATCCTGAGGCCGAACGCACTCGAAAATGCGCTTGGCCGTGAGCATTTTGAACGGCAGTCGGTGAAGAGTACGGTTCAAAATGCGAAGGTCCAGGATCGGTCGTAACCCACCGGTCTTCTTGGGGACAATGAAGTAGGGACTGTAAAACCCTGACCTCATCTCGGCTGGAGGGACAGTCTCGATTGCAGGGTCGCAATCTCCGCTCTCATGACCGGGGCATTGCCGCCGACCATCGTAAAGCGAACTCCGCCGGAAGCGGGGAGGAGACCGTGCAAACTGAATCGCGTAGCCGAGTCTGATCGTTCTGGCGACCTCGGCGGCGAGCAGGCTGGGGCGTCTGAACCGACGGCTGGGTGGAGGCAGCAGCTGGCCGTCGGGGCAGGATGTGTTTAATCGCCTCAGTCTGCTTCTGGGCGGTCGAGAACTGCTGGGCGATGTCCTCAACCGCACCACCGAAAAGGCCAGCCTGGGAGAGGGGGGTGTCGAGCAGACGAGTCCGCTCGACGTCCCGCACATCTGCCAGGTTGAGCCATAGATGACGCTCCTGGACCACGCTAGTGGCCATCACCTGACCCAGGGAGCGAGCGGCCACCGTAGTCGCTCGGAGAGCGAGGTCAGTGGCAGCACGCAGTTCATTAAAAGCCCCTGGGTCAGTTCCACCCTCATGCATATCCCTGAGCAGCTTTGCTTGAAATACCTGCAAGGTGCTCATGGCGTGCAGGGCAGCGGCCGTCTGTCCCGCAGCTCTATAAGATCTCGCCGCCTTTGACGACGAGAACCTACAGGCTTTGGAGGGCTGCTTAGGAACACTGCGAGAGGACGCGCTCTGAGGACACAGTTCCACCTGGGGAACCCCAGCATACCCACGGGCAGCCGCGCCATCGAGGGGAGGAAAGGCGGGGGAGACTGACGAGCGCTCACAGGAGGTCAAAGGATCCTTCCAGGTCTTCGTCAGTTCCCCATGCAGTTCGGGAAAGAATGGGATTGGGGTCGGCTGCGGCCGTGAAGCAGCAGCCTTGCCCAAAAACCAATCATCCATCCGCGAGCGATCGGGACAGGGCAGAGGGTTCCACTCTAGCCCAATGCTCACAGCGGCCCGAGACAGCATGGCCGTCATCTTGGGATCAGACACGGGCAACGCTGGTGCTCCCGAGGGAGGCAACGCAGCCGCATCCTCACTTCCTGAGGAGTCTAGCCCACGTTGTGATGCCGCGATCGACATCGAATCATCCTCCGGAGCACCGAACGAAACAGTGCTCACGGGTTGCAACACAGCTGCGGAAGGTGTGGCCCGAGGAACAAGCGTCAGGGCTTTATTCCACACCGTGACCATCAGATCACCCGGTCCGCGAGCCAAAGAGCTCCCCCTGGTAGAGGAAGCAGAATGGGTAGCGGACGTGGGGACTCTCCCAGCAAGATCATTGAGTCTTAACCTTAGTGTTGCGATGGTCATGTTTCCACAAAAATAACATGAGTCATCCACGAACGCTGCTTCTGCAGCTGCTCAATGCCCAGACACACAAAACAGCGCTCGTGCCAATCAGAGGAAGATAGGAATCGACCGCAACCAGAAGAGCACGGGCGAACCATCTTTAAAAAGACGTGCCACATGCAGCTCTTTCAGAAATGAGAGGAGGAAATTCACTCTTTCAGCGCTGAGGCGACCAGGGAGAAGCGCAATGTCTGGCAGACCACTGCACAGAACGCAGGCAATGCAGAATCTCGCTGGGTACCGCCGTCACACCAACGCTGTAGAGGATGCTCGTCTCGAAGAGTTGTACTCAGTGAAAAGTTGCTTGTGTAGTGAAGAAGTCTCTTGGCTCCGAAGCGAAAACATACTGCGTTTGCGTCTGCTTTCTCCTTTTATACCCATGTGTTGGGGCGGAGATACGCTATGCAAATTCCGCAGCCCCAAGGCATTTTCATGCCATTGGCTCGTTTTTAAATACTCGAAGAGGATTGGCTTTCTATGCGAAACCCCCATTCTCCGTCATCCGACGTATCTCGGAGTGACTACGAAAGGGAACTCTCTTGACTAACGAGAAATTGAGAAAAAGTATTGAAGCATAATTAATTAATGATGTATTAAATGAAAAACATCTACAACAAAAAAGAAAAAGTCCAATGCTTACATAGATCTGATTGTATACACGTCCAAAGTATTTGAAAGGCTGCTGCAAGTAAATGGCTTCAGAGCTTCCATCATCTGAAATGGGGTTTACTACGTCTCCATGCCCAAACGGCACGAAATTAGCTGGCAATAGAAAAAGTATATAATTCAATGTATTGTTTAATTCTTTTACAAGAACATGAGCTTGCAAATGGTACTCCTCTTTTTTCAGATCATCAGCTCTTGGAAATATCTCCATGAACAAATCATAGAATGTACATAGCAGTGGGTCCTGGGAAAAGGAGTACAGATGGAAGAAAACAAAACTAGAGGCAAATCACATTGTGGAAAGTTAGTATAGTGCAGGAGTGAGCAACATTAGGCACCACTGACACGCTGACGGTTAATCGCTGGCACTTGAGCAATCTTGAGAGAGAGGTTGCAAAAGGAAGCTAGCGTGGTGTATGTTTTGAAACCAGCTCATTTAATATGGACATGTACATGTTTGTATTCTGTTATCAACCATAAACCATAATCTAGCAACCATTACCGCTTATTCTTATCTTAGTTCGAGATTAATCTACACCCAAAAGGAAATGTGATATGTCTTATAATTGTACAGACAAAGCTCACATTGCAGTCTTTTCTAATGTAGACAGGATACATTATTGGTAAAACAATCAATGTTTTACATGTTAGTATAGAACAACTATAGATCATAAGAGTCGACCAAAGTATAAACAACTTTATTGACACAGAAACACTGTTCTTTAGCTCTTGCCATTTAGTAAACGAACGACCAATATTTATTTGTGCTGTCCCTCGCTCGGTCAACAGCTTTTTTCCCCTCCCTCATCTCCTCCACTGAGTACCGTCTCCTTTTTCTTTTCACTGGAGCTTGTGAAACATTATCCATCGTTGCGTGTTGGTTCTTTTAGCTAGTATTGAGATTGAGGGGGAGTGTGTGTTTCGAATAGCTGTAAAGCAGTTCATGTTTCTCGCTCTTTCTCGCTCGTTCTCGCTTCTCATGAGACTTCCTGTTTCCAATTTACCAGGATGGTAGTCCTGATGTTGCAAGCCTGGTTTTCCGCATGGGGAAGCTGGGGGCAGCGGGGAAAGTCACCATTCTCACCAGAACTGGTTATTTAAACATCTAAATGATTTCTAAATGGATTTATTAAGTTGAAAAAGTTGCCACGTGCTTCTTTAAGGTTTGACATTCGTTAGACATTAGGTTTCATATGGAGCTATTAATATGACAAAATGATTTGAATTTGAATTAGTAAATTTGAATTATTTGCAAGTGTAATCTAACAAAGTTGAATTTTAGGTGGTAGTTTAAATAGTTCTGAATTAGATTTTTTTTTGTAACGAATATTGAACATTTGAAATTTATCAAACTGAAAGGATTTTATGGCTGAATTTTAAAGACGTGTATTTTCAAACAGCTCTGGTTCGCATCGTATTTATGATAGATGTACAGCGCAGTGTAGACCAGACGAGAGCGGAGCGACGTGGCCCGTGAAATCCCAAACACCACATGGATTCCCCATCCTATTTCTGACCTAGTCTCAGCTCTTTGCAACAGTCGCTTCAAGCACTGTGTTGCGTTGCGCCACTCGCGTCCTGTCTGTGTAGTAGACACGGTGGTGTTCTAATCAAATTTACTCAAAATAAACTGACACCAGAGACCTCTTAGACAAATGTTCAAAACTAGAAAACTGAATTTGAAGTTCCGAATTTCTTTATCTTTTTAAACTGAATATTTGCAGTATTTGAATTCAGAACAAAAAAACTAGCTGTTTGAAAATACATAAAATTCAGCCATACAATCCTTTCAGTTTGATAAATTTCAAATGTTCAATATTCGTTACAAAAAAATTCAAATTCAGAACTATTTAAACTACCACCTAAAATTCAACTTTGTTAGATTACACTTGCAAATAATTCAAATTTACAAATTCAAATCATTTTGTCATATTAATAGGTCCATAGTTTCATACCCATTAAACTATCTGCACATTTCATGTTTTGAACCCGGACCACCTCGAACCAAACAAATTCCATATTTTTGCACTATTATTCTATGATGTTTTCTAGTATAAATAGTAGGGGTGTGACGAGACGCCTATCTCACGAGATGAGACCGGACACGAGATTGGGTTCATGAGAACGAGACGAGACAAGATTTTTGCAAAATTTTTCCGAAATTCTCAATGACAAAATTCATGACTGGAAAAATAGTATGCAGGTGCATTTTGCAGTCATCCTCCTATTATCCTTGGGGTCAATTTGACCCCATTCAATGTTTAGGTTTATTAAACATTAGGTTTATTAACCATAAACACAATGTTTACATGGTACAAAGACTGTATGCTACTGTTTTTAATATTGCTTAACACAAATTTCAAAGATTTGATTCTGATATTGATTCAATATCAATTCCTTTCGATAAATATTAGGTAGATACTGTACGTTAATGTGTTATGTTAATTGTTCTCCAAAAATAAATTACCCAATGCTGTAAACATACAGAGAGCCCTGTCAGCTGGTATTATTAAAGGTTAAAACTAACTCAAATTAAACATAATGCGTTTTTATAATAACAAACAACGTTATAATATTTTAATGATATAGGTCAAATATAGTAAATGTGTAATATAGTTATCATATTTAGCAAAATGCTCCTCTCTATAGCAATTATTTTAAGTCCAAATAACATGCATCATTAAAAAGGCATTCCTGAGTCTGAGGTAAATGTAACGTTACGTGACACATGTTGTTCTCTAACTTCTCCAGCTCTTTTATGGACATCTTTCCACGGTTGAAAAACACTGATCGATCGGTTTTATTTCGGTAAGTTAGCAGTAAAGAGTAACAGATGATCGGTTCACGTGCCACTTGAACTGAGATCTGTTAGTGATCTTTCACATGATCACGTCACATTTACAAGCGCCAAAACGGTGTTTATTGTTTGAATTTCGTAATAAAATTGACAGAATCTGAGAGCTGAGAATCTGTCTCATATCAATAACAACCTGCTCTGTCTGTTGGTGTCAGTGTCCTCTTGCTCTTTGCTTCTCGATGTTTCTCTGCGTGAGAAAATGGATGTGTGCATGAGAGAGTGTAAAAAGTGACAATTGCGTCTCTCACAGTGATTTTGTGAGAGTTGGCGGCCCTGCAGATTCAGCTTGTAAATGTTTTCGGCGGGTGTGCTTCTGCTGCCGCGGTCTTGTTCATTTGCCATGTTGTTTGTGTATCTCTATCATAGCAAGCGCTGAGTGCGGTCGGAACTACGGGAGCCCAGATGGCCGCGTCGGCGGATGTTAAAGAGAAAACCTATTTTCATTCAAGAAAATCGGCGCAATTAGGCGCAAACTACAAATTCGAGTTAATCGATAAAATCGATTTATCGCCCAGCCCTAGTGCTGAGCATGCATTATACAAGATAAGACATTTATCAGACGTTTAGTCTATGTTGCGCTACGAATCCTCCAGGGTTGCCAACTCTCACGCATCTGGCGTGACGCATTCAGCCACAATTTCACGGTCTCACACTCAACAAAGAAATCTCACGCTGAATTAGAAATTCTTCTGTGCTGTATTTTTTTTTTTTGTATTACTATAAGCAAGTTCAGGCTCTTAACTACTGATTGGACCACGGCATTTTCTCACGCAGAGAAAAATCGCGGAAAAGGATGACACTGACACCGACAGACTAGACAGAGAAGTTTACTGTTGATGTGGAACGTTTCGGCGCTTTTAAACGTGACAGATCGCAGTAGCACGTCAGTTCAAACGGCACGTGATACAGTTGCCTACAACACCCACTCAAGGACACAAGCAAAATACTGTATCTGGTAATCTCCCGCTTCATATTAAACAAACTGTCAACACAGGCTTTTGCGATGCACAGAGAGACGCTGTGCTGCCTATGACTTTGAACGTGAGTTGAGAGCGTACATTTGCACTAAAAAGATACGCCTCACTGATACATTTGCGTACATTTAGCAAAAAAGATACACCTCACTGGATATCTACAGTGGCGTAGGGCGAGGGCGTGAGATGCATGAAAGCAGCTTTTGACGCGTTCGACCAGAGTTTGAATCCGCCTTTTGCCGAACTCTCTCTTCTCCTTTTTCCCAACACCGAAACCATGATATGACATTGTGCCTTTATAAAACAGCACAAGACTGTAATTAAGTAGCTTATATAGCCATTCTGTTTGTGCTACGTGATTAAAAGTGCGCACTTTGCTCACGCAGTCAGCATGGTGATCGGGTATTTTCTCCAAAATAAAAGCTCAAGGGTTTATTTCTTGCAAGTGAAGAAATTAGGACAAAACTATTGTAATTTTCCTATACAATAGTGTAAGTAAAATATACTTTTGAAATATTCATTTTCATACAGTACATTTATAGGCTAGGCCTATATGGATTTTACGTAATAGAAATAAAAATCATTATTACCTTATTATAATGATCGTTTGGCATCCAAAAACAGACTGAGACTTTATAATTTATTCTGTTGGTTGGTGTATAACTGAGATTCTGCATAGATGTCCAGAATGTTAAATATAATTGACGGATTTCGCAAAAGTTGTTAAAAAAAAAAAAACATTTCTTTAAGGCACACACAGACCTCAAGATTCAGTCAATGCTTCTCAACAACGGTGACAGGTAGAATATTCAAGTAGGAAAAGTTAATTACATAGACAATTCAGATCATAATTTAATCAAACCGCAATGCATGATGGGAGCCATTAATGAGTTGTGATTGGTGGCAACAAGGATTAATTTTGTCACCACAATTGAGATACACAGGCTGATATTGATATCTGTGTTTCTAAATAAAGATGAGAGTGATTTGATCAGAACACATATTCCAAATTTTAAGTTAAAAGAAAAATACAGATATGTAATACAACCACAAAACTGTTGCTAACAAATTAATGCAAATCACCTGATTAAAATTCATTTTTCAGATCAAGCATGATTATGTCAAATCATAATCAACACTATCAGATCGCAGACGTCTTGTTTGACTGCTTTAAATCAATAGCAGCAGATAAACAACATTTAAAGTGAAAGTAAAAGTGTCAAGAGCCCAACTAAAGCAAACACTGCCCAGATAGCAAACTGACATTGAATCAACGTGGAAATATGACATCGAAACAACGTTGATCTGACATTGTTTTGCTCATCGAATTAATGTTGAACCAACGTCAGACGCGTCATTCTTTCAAAACTAACGGAAAATCAACTTGAAATCAACGCGTTGTTTCAACGTTATGAAAGCAAACCAATTTTCGATTTTCATTTAGCTTTGAAGAATGCCGCGTCTGACGTTGGTTCAACGTTAATTCGATGAGCAAAATCAACGTTGTTTCAATGTCATGAGAGACGTCGTTTCCACGTTGATTCAATGTCAGTTTGCTATCTGGGTGATCTCCATAACGGTGACTTACAATTTGTGATTTTGTCCTTCAGTGATTCTGCTTGTGATCATCAGGTGTCTTCAATAATGCTCAATCATCACTAAATTAATCACTTAATTATCTCATTAACTTTAACACTCTTGAGGGTTAATTTAACACTCATATCGTCCATTTGAAAGCAGGTGAAGGAGATTTACTACTAATCAAGGAACCGGCTTTACTGATTAGATGCGCATAACAATATCGTGCGATATATCGCCCAACCCTAGTGATTGGTCTTAGTTGACGTGATTGAGTGTGAAGTGTGGTGCACGTGTGGGTGCTCCTTTACCATCGCTAAGACTAGCGACGTCTGGCACTAGCTCATCCTGCTTCTGGTGATCACGAGCCCTGTGAGCTGTTATTGTGTGATGTTCTAAGTTAACCTAACTGACTGGTACACCAGCATTTTATCTTTGTCTAAATAAATAATCTTTTTGTATTTTTCTATATCCACGTCTCAGAGCCTTTATATAAAGGAGACACCGAACCTGTGTGTCTTTAATAGGACCCTTTCCCTGGCTTAGCGACCAGGGTGACGTAGTCGATTTTTCTTTCTGTTTCTCTCTCTCTCTTTTGTACTGCCTGCCACACTAGAATGATGCACTTAATTAACCGAAAAAAATAATATTGGTGTGGAATATTGGACACTTCATACACTCAACTGTTGTAGCTTTAATTACGTAGTGGAGGGGGAAGGGCCAGAGGACTCCGATGTTAAATGAAAAATAACTTTAAAACATTCATACACTGCACAGATGACTACATATTGTATAAGTGAATAGTGTATAGTGCAGAGGTCTTCAACCCTGCTCATAGGGACCCACTGCCAAGCAGAGTTTAGCTTCAACCCTAATCAAACACAACTGAAACAAGCTAATCAAGCTCTTCATGATGGCTTGAAAATGTACATGCAAGAACTTGAACATGAACTTTGCTGCACAGTGGGACCCAAGGAGCAGGGTTGAAGACCCTATAATGTATAAAATGTTCCAGCCAATAGAAATATATTTGCGTTTAAACAAAAATTGCTTAAAAAAATCATAGAATAATTATCTTCAATAAGCCAAACCATGTATTGGCTTATTAAAGACTTTATACTATATTATAGACCTTATTCATGTGTGTAAAAAAAACAGTGTGGGACTGGTTTGATGCCAAAATTTGTATGGAAGAAGAAGAAGAAGTATAAGTGACAATTAGCATTACAAGTACCACTAATTATTATATTGTCATTACCTTGTGCCGTAGTCATATCACCTGCAGGAGAACAGACAATTTTGTTTCAGAACATTCTTATTAAAAGTGTATTGTTATTGACAAAAGAACAATTCAATTTTAAAATCTACATCTACATTACATTATAAAGAGAATATTTTATTTTATGAGTAATATTAGCCTATACATATTTTTCAACAATCTCGTCATCATTAATTTTCTATTGAATTGTTTATTTATTTATTTACATTTTACTTAAATAGTAAAATGGTAAATGGACTGCATTTATAACATTTATAAAATTAATATTTCTGACTTACTAGCATGAAGAAACAGCATTGCTACAACATAAAATGTGACGGGTTTCCCCATCCTTTTTGTTGTAGGTTCTCTAAAGTCAAAAAATAGCAAAAAAAGAGAAAAGATAAATAAAGAATCTTAAACACTGCTAACAACTGTGACACCAATAGCAATATATTTTGATAACTTGTAAGACATCATTAATATTGATTAAGCAGTATCATGAGGAAATTAATCTTACCAAAATGTCCAACAAAAAAATAGATGCTTCTTAATTCTCTCCTGCAGTCTTTGGAACAAATGAAATCCACAGTAATTGTCAGTATTTATACAGTACTATACTGAATGGGGGAGGGAGTTCACATAAGTTTCACATACTATCATATATGATTTCAACAGAATGAAATTTGTTGCTGGTATTTCAACAACTTTAGCATTTGAGAGATGACAGAAACCTGTCCTTCTGCATCCTTTACCTTTCTCACACAGAACTGTTCACACTCAATGAATGCATAATTCATAACTTAAGACATAAACCAAAAACACCTTAAAATACCTTTTTTGTGTGTGTGTAAAAACTCTACGTCCCTGCTGAATTTTGTAAAGTTAAAATTGTAAAGCTACATTTGTAAAGTTAAAAATCATTGCAGTTGATTTTGATCTCGAGTTGATCTCAGGAGTTGTGTCATATCTACGAATCTATCATTTATTACGAAGAGTTTATTCAGTATTTTGTGTCTGTCTTAATAAGGTAAATGTAAAATCATGTTCTTTAACTAATAAAATCAATTCAAATATGAAATGTTATTTGCTCTCATAACTCTATTCACCCTATATTGATATAGTCTCTTGAGTCACCAGAATTGATTTTACCCAAAAGAACAAGTTAATAACTTTTAAAGAATGACTTGATTAAAACAAAAAGGAACCAATGTTTTAGAATTTAACAAATTCACAATTCAGGATGTTGGTTTCAGAGGTAGTTAGGACATTGAGGAAATTGACGAGTGCATCATACTTCATCAAATTCTACTTGATTCTATTGAAGTCATTTTTTGTTCCACTTTTGAATACTTAAGGACAATTAAATGTTACATTTTATGTCATTTTGTGTGTATTTTTGGTTAGATGCTTCGACTTTTAATTATGTACAAGATTTTACCACAATATGGATGCTTTTACTTAAAAGTAAAAGTCTATGAGTTTTTGCAGAACTTCGCCACCCCCCCTGGCGACAAGCGAAACTGCAACAAGCGAACACATGCACGTTTGTACGAGCTGTTCATAACCAATGGAGCATAAGCCACACACATCTTTTGTTACAGTCATAATGAGGTAATAAAGTTATAAATCTGCAAGTCATTTAAAATTTATGAAAGGAAAGGCATTTGAGTAGCTAAATTACACACTTATGTGTGTGTGAGAGGGAAACGGGGGTGGTAGAAAACTTCGGTCTTTGTTTCCATCTATCTCCATGTCGAACTGTTTTATGTGCTTACTGTATCCACTTATGATTGTATCATTATGGAAATACGTTCATGAACAATATAAGTTATTACTTTGAATAGGATCCCATTTGAGCCCTAGAGCAGACCGGAGATCTCTACATTTGTTGAAAGCTTCCCGATGTTGACTCTCGTCTTATTCCGACGCCTGGCACTAGAAAAAAGTTTTATTATCTTTGTCTGACATGGAGTTTGCGTTGGGGTTTGGAATGAACTACAAGCCGGTCTCTTTGGGGCTGTTTACACCTGGCCACTTCATGCATTCTCAGATCGGATAGGTATCTGATTTATCAAAACGATTCCATTTACAGCTGGTCACATAAATGTGTTTTTGCAAAACGGGTATAAATCCGATCTTGAATTCCCGCGCTGCGCTATAAACAGATTCAATGAAGTGCACGTCACCGAAAGCAACATAGGCTATGAGCTGCATTTTATTAATCATCGGCTAATTTCAAAATCAGCAATGACAGCAATACGAGAGAGCGGAAACAGCCCTGGTAAGATCATTTCATTTCTTTACTTTTAATGAAGATGGTAGTGTTAAGCGTCTGCGACTTAATTTCACTTTGATTTGCGATAGATTGCGGCGCGTTGGCTTGATGAATAGGCGCTCAGCTGCTCATCTGAGGTGATCATGTGTGTCGCAGTAGCATCGTCATATCTGACTAAAATAACATGACATATAGCCTGGTTTCAACAACCAGATGCTTTTACACTTGTCCAGTTTCGTTTGGAATGCGGCCCAGACCACGTCCTCAAGTGGTTTGAGCAATAGGATTCAAATCTGTCTCAAATGTGTTTCAGACGGCATTTACACCTGGTCTTTTCACGATCGAATAGCTATGCGATCACAGAAAATGCATGAAGTGACCAGCTGTAAAAGGCCCCTTTGAATCCATCTTTTACTTTTGTCGAAAGTTCGCTAAAGTTGTGTCGCTCGAGTTGTCTTCTCTGATATGGAGAATGGCGGCGAATAGCTACACAAACCTGCCAGACATAGCCAGGCGAGCGTGAACGTGCATGATGTCACACCCAGTCTCAAATTCGAGCCCGAATCCCTCTTATTTATTTTACCATACAGGATTATAGAGGTGATCGCAGTGATCAGAGAAGGGTTCATTCAGTCCATCAGGCAATTGTTTAAGCATGTATGGGTTAGAAAAACGGCTATTTTTAACATGAAATGTTGCGCAATGCACCTTTAAATAACTGGCAAGCCTGAAATTATTTAAATCTTCCTCTCTTCTTCATGTTGTACAGGCTCGGCACTACTGTGCCATCAATGCCACAGTGCCAGTACTGCAGTGGTACTATGGAGGGAAGGACACTCGGCCAGACTCCAGGCTGGGCAGAGAGGCCATGCAGCAGCTGATGGTAGCCCTGAAGACTGACAGGCAGCATGGATGGGGCCCGAACCTTGAGACACTCGTGTTCCTGTTCTGGCTGGCAATCCGTTCAGCCTACAGAGTTGTCTCCAGGGTCTTTAGCATGCCTCTACCCACAGTGCACAGAGTTATCCACAGGATGGTGGATGAGGTGATGACTGTGCTCCCCCAATTTGTGCACTTCCCCCAAACACAGGAGGAGCTCCAAGTGGTTGGGGATGGTTTTGCTCACTTGGCTAATCACCAAGCATTTGGCAAGGCAGTTAGGGCAAAAGACAGCTTCCACATAAAAATAAAATGCCCCGGCGGCCCTGATGGTCACGATTACAACGAAAGAAAGCTCTTTCGGAGCTCCAGGGAGTCTGTGACGATCAGGTTCGCTTTATTGACATCTTTGTGGGTTACCCAGGAAGTGTGCATGATGCACACATACTCAAGAACAGCCCTATCTACAATAGGGGGACTTACCCTCTGCTTGTCACCATCCTTGGACAGTCTGTGTGTTTTGATTCACCACGTGTTCCCCTCGTCTGAGTTCTCCGCCCTCATCTGTTGCCATGGACACTCATCACCTCCCGCACAGCTGCCTGTCATTTGGTAATCACCGTCACTGTGTATTTAAGTTCCTGCCTGTCTTCACTCCCTTGTCCAGTATTGTTCGTGTTATGTGTTACACGCTGTCTCCTGCCCACTTTAGCTACCTGTTCATGAGTTTTTGTACATTAAAAGGACTTAGTGTTACTTCAGCCTTCTTCTTCATCTTCCTTAACCAACCCTACAGGAACCCCTGGCCCTTATCACACCATATAAGAGGCAAGTGAGAGGCATGACGAAGCAAAGTACCATCATTCCAGAGGTCGCACAATCATTGAGTGTGCATTTGATGATTTGCTTCAGGTGCATCACAAGGAATGGGTGTTGTGAGGTTTTGCGCTCATGCACGGGCTGCACGTGAAGTCCGAGCTGAAGAAGAAGCCAGTGTCTATCAACAAACAAGAGAAACTGAACATGGCTGAGTCAGTCCTCAAGAGGAAGAGGAGGAGGATTAGGGCGAGGAAATACCATTGTGGCTTTTGAAGGCTTTTGAAAGGTGGAGAACTTAAAGAACTGATTTTTTTTTTAAATCGGACGCCGAGGTTGCAATGTTTCTTCTGGACAGTTGGGTAGCTGCTAGAGCTGATTTATTTGGATGTGAACTGTGTGCGAAAATATCCTTCTTAAAAATATATGAGTGAAGCTTGACTAAACTTGGGTAGCTCTAGTTAACGTGGGCAACATTATGCTGAACAGAGTGAATATCAGATTGTAGGGATTTAGTGTGTGAATTGCGTTTGCATCTTGATACATGAAACTGGAGGGCGAATTAACTCTAACTCTTTAGTAACTCTTTCTTCTCTCTGTCATTGTTTCCCACATGCCTTTGAATGCAAAACTCTGCAGATTTACTTTATTTCTACAGTGATTTAATAATACAAATGTAGTTGTATAGGTTACTATTATACAAACCAAAGCATGTGTGTGTGTGTGTGTGTGTGTGTGTGTGTGTGTGTAGTTGTGCAAAGGTCAGCTCCCTTTGCTGGTTGTTACTTTATTTTTTGTCGTGGTGTGGTTATCAGGTAAGGACGCCCCTTGAGCTTCAATCCTCAGGGATCCCTGGGGGTACTTATCCAGCTCTGTCCGCGTGGTCACGGCCCAGACAGGAAGGGCAGAGGATGTGACAGAGAGGGCCTCTGCATGAGGTGATTTAGCCCTAAGGCATTTAAAACAATGCCTGTAATTTGCTCTTTTAGATATGTGTGACGCAACGGCGAACACACAAAGCGTTTTTAAAGGATATAGCATGCCGGATGGCACAGTACAACAGCAGGCTGAAGGTGGCGTCCAGTTAAAAACAGCTTGTTCTTGTTCTTTTTCTCAGCGGCTTGTTCCGCTGAAGGCTTTTCGACGGCGATGAGAGGGCTTGTTCAGAGATCAGCGAAGTGGTGAGTTCGCTGAAGATGAATAAATCTGAATACCTAGGCTGAATGGGTCATATAAAGACATAAGCCACGCCCATTCTGGCGGGCTCTGGGCCAGGGCGTGAATCGACCTGATTAGTTTGCGTGTCTGAGCCGCCTCACCATAGGTTCATGCAGTTTCCGCAACACAGCAAATGACCGTGCAAGTCACTCATCTGTGTCTACTGTGCAGCTGCACTGGATTTTAAAAACTTGGCTTCAATATACAATAAAAGAAACTTCCCGAAAAGGAAGTCGATTGCAGGGACGTCTGAACTGACAGACGTTGTAGGGATACAGTGACAGATAAAGAAGGTCAACCGTTCTCTGAGATTTGTTTTCATGATTATCGAATGTAAGGAGTTTTATCTCTAAAAACTGT